ACCACTAAAAATGTTGTTGCTTGTGTGGAATATTGGGACTTAAAGCTTTATAAATAAATGCGGCCATAAATACATTAGTTTCCCAATATCATTTATAATAAAAGTGCTAAAACCAACGCGTAACCATAACTCTACACAAACCTCGATACCCATTAAATCACTTTTTATATACTTACAGTTTGAATTTTCAAACCATTTGATTATCTTAACATATCGGTTCATCCAATATTCATAGTGTACCAAATGTAGTACCATTTAGTACCCGTAAGTCCAAATTTCCTAACCTACATCCATAACCCAATCCAACACTCCAACAGTGATCCGAACTCCAAATTTTAATATTCCTGTTCTATCGGTTCACCTAAAATTCAAATTGTACCAAATTTAGTGCACATTAGTAAGAATTTCCAAAACTTCCAACATACCCCAATCCTACACACCAACAGTGATCCTAACTCCAAATTTTAGGATTTCAGCTCTATCGGTTAACCCAAAATTCAAATTGTGCCAAGTATAATATCATTGAGTACCCATAATTCACCCAAATCCAAATTGTATCAATTATTGAACGATTTTGTACTCTTCGTACACATAAGTAAAAAATTTCCAAAACTACTTGCATTTCCTATTCTTACACTCCGACGGTAATGTTTATTTCAAATTTCACAGTTCCAGCTTATAACGAGTGGTTTTGTATAAGGCTGAAGTAAGCTTAATCGCAGCCAGGGTCAACTCAAGGACCCACAAACCTTAAATTAGAAAACACGAGTGGTAAAAGTTAAATTATTAAAAGTTAAAGTTAAAAAATACTTCTGTGTTTAGATAGAGAATAACATGCGGGATCTTCAATACGATGGAGTTATTAATTCGTTGGTTGTCGTTTCGGTGTGTTGGGACTCGTTCCGTCGGGCTGATGGGTTGACTGCCGATTGTGGCACTCAGCTGTATTTGTATAGTCGGCCTCGGTTGTATAGGTTTAGGTAGTCGGCTCGGGTTGAAGTAGTCGGCTCGGCTTGAAGTAGTCGGCTCGAGTTGAAGTAGTCGGCTCGGGTTGAAGTATTCGGCTCGGGTTGAAGTAGTCGGCTCGGATTGTGTAGTCGACTCGGCTTGTAGTAGTCGGCTCGGGTAGTAGTAATCGGTGGGGCCCTTCGTTCAAACTCCTTCTGAAACGAGAAGAGTTATATAGAAGCGAACAACTCGCGGAAACGAACAATTCGCGGAAGCGTACGAGTCGCGGAAGCGAACAATTCGCGGAAGTGTACGAGTCGCAGGAAGCGAACGAGTGGCGGTAGCGAACGAATCGCAGGTCGAAGGCTTCGGCTATGTTCGGTACAAGGTCCTGCGACTGCGGACACTGCCACAAGTCGGTTTCTCTCGTACTTGGTCTAACTCCAGCTCTCGACCATCTCTGCCAATGAAAACTGGAACACTTATCCAAGGTATATTCATAATGTAACCGTATCAAGCCAGCTGAAGGTAACATTATATGTAAATTTGTTGTTCTTGACATCGCAGTGAAAATAAAATATAATGAAAAAAATAAATAATAATGAAAAAGCAAATTTCTGAAGAAGCAAAGAACCAAATAAATATCGGCCATGTCCAGGATGCCTTCACAAAACTTCTATAGGAAGAAGTCTTGTGACTTTCTATAACTATTTGGTGCCGTTTTTCACGTTAAACAATACCAATAATCGAAAGGAAAATGATTCATCTTCGAATGAGACCTTCAGAATAGACAATTTTGCAAACTTTTACATATGATAAGAATACTGAACCAGGAAACCAGTCTGGAGTTTTTGTACTGAATATTGCTAGAATTCAGTTGGATTAATTTCCCATTTTGGATTCTTATTGCAAAACTCTCTTTATTCGCTTCCATATAATGATACGTCCCGATTTCATTCATTTGGTTGTAATTTAGCATCTAGATTTTCACTTATGTTGTGTTTGGTATGCTGAGGTGTTACTACCGCAGAAAACAAAATGGTTCCACGTCTTCGTATCTCCAAAAATGTATTCCTTGTCATCAATTCCTTAAGATCGCCGAATCATTTTTATCGTTTATGCTATTTTTAATTCATAAATTTAATATTTGCAAAAAAGCACACAAATTAAAAAAAAAATATTTTATAAAACTTCAAAAATGCTTTGTTCTGATTGGTGGAAAAATATAAGGCGAATACGTTTTTATTCGCCTTGATAACAATTTTGACATATCATATTCCCAATTCGGCTACCTTATATATCTACCTTGCTCTTATCTGTACGACAACACAAAGTGAATGAGAATTACTTTCCTATACCTCGACAATAGTTTCATGATTGTTCATTGATGTTGAAGTGAGTTGCTTAAATGTAGGTATCCTATTATTATATTAACGAGGGGTATATAATAAGGTGGTGTGAAATGTAGCGGTCACGTTACAAGCTCCATCCGTACCTCTAAATTGAAATTGTACTAAATATAGTACCATATAATGCATTTCGTACACATGAGTACACACTTTCAAAACCACCTCCTCATATCGACCTTACCTCTCAATCTTGATTCGCATCCCAAATTTAAATTTTTTAGCTCTATCCGTTTACATGCTACGAAATTGTAAAAAATTTAGTACATTTTAGAACTTTTCGGATGCTAATAGTTTGAATTCAAAAGAAAAAAATATCTACAATATAAATATCTAACATGATCAAAATCAAAAAATACCAAAAATTGTGGAAATCATTATATGAATATGCCTAAACATGGATCGTATTTGCAACTCCATGCAAATTTTTGTCTAGAGGCTAGCGTGATTACAACAGACGAAAAGGCGGATATTTACGGATTTACTTTGATAATGGATATATACCCACATAGCCAAAATTATAAGCACACACTTTAATACGCAAACCTTTCCTCGTATATATCCATTTTATTTCTAGCCTGATAATCCGGATTCTACGAGGACAGAAACCCACCCAATTTTACTAAACGTCCATGTTTTGACATATGCTCTAACGCAGGTCCCTCCTCATTTTATATATTTATACCCTTCACCACACTGTGGTACAGGGTATTATGTCTTTGTGCATATGTTTGTAACAGGCAAAAATAAACGATATAGACACATGGTTCCTTTTGAGAATATGCATAGAATCACTTTCTAAGTCGATTTATGCATGTCCGTCCGACCGTCTGTCTGTTGATGTTAAATTGTAAACAAAGTACAGGTTGCATTTTTAATCCGATTTGGCTGAAATTTGGTGCAGCTCATTTATTTGGCCCAAGGACGAACCCTATTGAAATTGGGAAAAAACGTCGGTTCAGATTTAGATATAGCTCCCATATATATTTTTGTCCGATTTTTGGTAAATGGTTCACCAAAGACCCTGAAAATCTTTCGATTTGCACGAATTTTGGCATAGCGTACTGAATTGTGTCCAGAATGATGTGTGTCAAGTTTCGAGAAAATCGGTTCAGATTTAGATATAGCTCCCATATATACTTTCGTCCGATTTAAGGTAAATGGGGCACCAAAGTCCCTCTGTATCTTTCGATTTGCATGAAATGTGGAACAGAGTACTGAATTAGGTCCAGAATGTTGTGTGCCAAGTTTCGAGAAAATCAGTTCAGATTTACATATAGCTCCCATATATAGTTTCGTCCGATTTAAGGTAAATGGTTTACCAAAGTCCCTATATATCTTCCCATTTGCACGAAATTTGGCATGACGTATTGAATTGAGCCTAGAGCGATGTCTGCCAAGTTTCGTGAAAATCGGTTCAGATCTAGATATATATTTTTTCGTCCGTTTTAATTTAAATAATGTGCCAAAGTTCTTATGTTGCATAACGTACTGAATTTAGTCCAGAATTTTGTGTGCCAAGTTTCGTAAAAATCGGTTGAGATTTAGATATAGCTGATATGAAGTAATTGACGCACCAAGAAACCAATATATGGCTGATAGGAACTAAACGTACCGAAATTAGTATAACTTAACCTGTGACAAGTTTCGTTGAAATCGTTTCATATTTGGATATAGCTTCCATATATATTTTCGTCCGATTTTAAGTAAATTGTACATCAAACTCCTCATGTTTGTCAGATTGACATCAAATTTTGCACACCGTACAAAATTGAGCATAGAATTACGTAGTTGCGTTTTCTAGAAGTCGATTTGTTTGAAGTCGATTTTCATACTTTTGTCCCAAACGAATGACATGTTTATGGATAAATCTAGTCCGATTCACATTTAGATAAATATCACAAATTTTATTTCATCCAATTTCATGTTAATTATGGTCTTTAATATACCCATAGTGGTGAAGGGTATCATATAGTCGGCCCCGTCCTACTTTACTACTTTCCTAACTGGTTTAAAAGTCCTAGTCCAAAATAACCATTTCAGATTTTCTTAGGTAAAATACCATAAGCGAAAAATGTTCAAAACAATGCCCGCTTCATTTTATGTATTATAAGGATCTTTTACGTCTTTCCGATACGAAGTGACAGCAATTTGACATTGAGAGTTCTCAACAGTTAAAACATCTCATGGTGGAAAATGTTAATCACATTTTATGTATTTTAAGGACTTTGCAGTATTTTACATTTACCTACGTTTCAGTATTTTTGGCATATGGGTTTCTCGAATTATACGCAACACCTGGAATGATGAATGGAACCGAAATCATTCGTTGATATTTTGTCAATACAATTTTTAATATTTATGTTACATTATATGTCACACAGCTTATCTCCGAACAACTTGAACTTTTGTATATATCTTTTATTATGTTTTACACGTACTTTCTTCTATGTTCTTGTGTAAAGTTAAATCTTTTTTCATACCATTTTATGTTTGATGTTTAAATGTTCTCTTATATTTGTGTTACAAAAAAAAAGTTACTCGAAACTCCCCCCTCACATACATTGCAATTATATATAAATAATAACAATACTAATATTAATAAAAATTATTAATTATTTTGCTGAAAATATTTGGAACCAATAGGAATCGAAGGGAGCGTGTAAGGTGAGTTTTTATTTTCTTCAAAATATTGAATATTTTCTAAATATATATTCATTTTTCAATTCCTTAGTCCTTTGAAAAGGTCGTGGTTCTGAATATACAATTTGGTTTATCACCTTCTCTGACGGATGGCCTGGCTGCCATACCACGATGGCGTCTGCTGCAAGCCGCCCTGCCCCATGTTATGCATTGTGTATCGGCTTTGCTGCACAATCGCGTCAAGGATATGCAGGCAATAGGACAAATTGAAACAACATTGTTGTATGCAATGCAGTGGATATTACTCTATGCGGCGGAGGAATGTGCTGGAGACGAAGGTGGTCTAGGAGGTGGTGGTATGGTCACGGATGGTGACACGAAGGGAAAATCAATGGAACAATATTTATTTTCGGTGCCCACAATTACGGTAAGATTTTTGCAGGTTAAATTATTGAAGGAAATTTTTAATTTTCGGTTGATTTCCTTTGCAGCTCTTTGTCTATTTATTTGCTCCCATTATCCATCATTTAAAGGAATCCGATTTCCAAAATTGTCGTTTAGAAAATGGCATTAAGTTATGGCAGGGCATGTGGGATAATCGTGCCCCGGGAGCTCCCTGTTTTACAGCTCCTGTAAAGCCTAAGGCACGTAATCTATTGTGTGCTCCCACACCAAAAGGATCAACAGATGTTTTTACAGGACGTAAGTATGAAAATTCCAAGTTGGATCAAAATTTTTTCTAAAGAAAAAAAATCGCATACCCTTGGGTCCTAGTTTTTTCTATAGAAAAAATTCGCAGACCCATAGGGGTTAGCCTTTTCTAAAAAAATGTTCAGACCCTTGGATCTTTTTTTCCAATGAAAAAATTCAAAGGCCTTTGGTCTTAGCTTTTTTCTATAGAAAAAAACTCGGAGACCCATGGGCCTTACAAGAAAAATTCACAGAACCTTGGTTCCTAGTTTTTTCTATAGAAAAAATTCACAGACCCTTGGGTTTTAGTTTTTTTTCTATATCAAAAAATTCGCAGACCCTTGGGTCTCCTTGGGTCTTGATTTTTTCTATAGAAAAAAATCACAAGCCCTTGTGTCTTAGTTTTTTCTATAGAAAAAAAATCACAGTCCCTTGGGCACAAGTTGTTTCTATAGAAAAAATTCACAAACCCACGAGTCTTAGTTTTTTCTATAGAAAAAAATGTACAAACCCTTGGTCCAATTTTTTTCTATAGAGTCCCTCCTATTGGAAAATCAGAGACCCTTGTGTCTTTACAAAATATTTTTCTATAAAAAATCATCAGAATTTCCTGGTTCCGATCTGAATATAAAAATTAAAAAAATATATCCTTTCAGGAAAACAATCCCTCAGCGTAGATGCCATGTCCCCCAAAGTCGACTCACCACAAAGTGTGGGATCCGATCACACAACGCGTCAGGATGAGGAGGTATGTACCGCATAAATAACATTTTCCGCCATAGCTAAAGCCTCAACAGCTTTGTTCTATGCAAAACAAAACAACAACAAAAACAAAAAATATCTTTTTCTATATATGTGTGTAATTTTTCAATATGAATGTTTGTATTTTTTTTTCGTTTTCGTTTTCTTTCTTTTGATAACCACCCACATACATACATATATTATGTTTGGAATATTAAATGTTTTTAGAGCTCTTGGGTGTCATCGCCCAAGGAATTTTTCCCCGAAACCATACCCGAAGAAGCATCCAGTGTTGAAGATGAACGTGTTGTTATTTTTCGTTTACCTTCTGCTTCCCATTTAATGGACAATTCGTTTTTTACTGTAATTGTTGAAATGCTTTATCGTTTACGATCCGAATTGGTTTTCTAATTTTCAATATTTTTTGTTTTACATGACACCGATCGATAGGCCGATGCTAGCCTGCTGACCCAACAACAACCACAAAGTCGTCGCGGCAGTCGCCAGTCCATACATTCAAGGGATAAGGATAAGCCGTCGACGAAATTTGAATTCGATCAGCAGGAGTTGATGCGTGGAGCTTCCATGAAGGAGAAACGTAGTGCCTCTGTGGAGAGGGAGACGGAATCAGATAAATCGGAAAGTGTAAATGCTGATGTCTCAGCGGCCACATTTTTGGATGTGGGTGTTATGCGTTGCCTGTTCATATCACATTGGCAGGAGGAGGGTATCTTTTGGAGTCTTCAGTATTTGTATAATAGGTGAGTGTGAGAACCCTTTAAGGTGGAAATGTTTTTACAGTAAAAGAATCATAGAGACTTGGATCCAATGTTTTTCGATAGAAAAAAATTCACATACCCTTGGGTACAATGTTTTTCTATAGAATAAAATTCACAGTCCCTTGGATACAGTATTTTTCTATATAAAAAAATCACAGACCATTGGTTCCAATGTTTTTCTATAGAAAAAAATTCACAGATCACAGGGTCTTAGTTTTTTTTCTATAGAAAAAAATTCACAGACCACAGGGTCTTATTTTTTCTATAGGAAAAAATTCCGACCTCTGCGAACTTTTTTTCTATAGAAAATAATTCACAGACCACAGGGTCTTATTTTTTTTATAGAAAAAAATTCACAGACCCTTGGGACTAATGTTTTTCTATAGAAAAAAAATCACAGACCCTTGGGTCTAATGTTTTTCTATAGAAAATTTCACAGGCCCTTGGATCTAATGTTTTTCTATAGAAAAAAATTCACAGACCCTTGGGTCGAATGTTTTTCTATAGAAAAAAATTCACAGACCCTTGGGTCGAATGTTTTTCTATAGAAAAAAATTCACAGACCCTTGGGTCAAATGTTTTTCTTTAGAAAAAAATTCACAGACCCTTGGGTCAAATGTTTTTCTATAGAAAAAAATTCACAGACCCTTGGGTCGAATGTTTTTCTATGGAAAACAATTCACCGAACCTTGGATCTAATGTTTTTCTATAGAAAAAATATTCGCGGACACTTGGGTCTAATCTTTTTCTATAGAAAACATTTACAGCCCCTTGGGTCTAAGTATTTTCTATAGAACAAATTCACAGACCCTTGGGTCCATTGTTTTGTCCATAGAAAAAAATTAACAGACCCTTGGGTCCAAGTATTTTTCTATAAAAAATCCTTAGTCCTTGGTTCCAAAAGACTTTAATTATTAGTTAATTAATTATTTATTTATTTATCCAGACTAAGTGAAATTGGTGAAGAAGCTGCCATTTCCATAAATCAACCACGAAAACGTTCCAATTCCTTGCCCATACCACACATCGAAATTTCCCTCTATCAGGGACCGAATAGTAATAATCGTGATAGCCCTGGAAGTTCCGTAAATAAAGATTATATTGAAATACCCGAACCATCCATCACAGCATGTTTAGCGGGTGAGTTCTGATTAAAACTTCCAATTAAAAATTATTCCTAACACCATTCTCTTTCCTTACAGAAGAAGCCTCACCCACTGCGGAACGACGTGGCAGCGAAAAAAAGAAACGTGTCAAAATGTCCGATCTGCGAGCATTTGTCGAAACGAAAATGTTTTCAAAATCGGAAAAGAATTTGGAAAAAGTAGGCCTTGATACAGGTTCAGCCAATGGCAAGAGACCACTGCAACATGCAGTAAGATAAATATTTATTACAACAGCAACAACAACAAAGCGTTTAAATATTTGTGTGTTTAAAACCACGAACCCCTTTCAAACCCGATGGCTAATCAATCCTGCATTTACTTGTATTCCCCCATTTAACTGTGTCTGTTTTGTGTGGCATGAGACCTTTAAAGCTACACCTACTACTTCATATTACCATCCATCACAATCCCACTTCCCTCATTTTGGTACTGGCTTAATGCATTCATAGGCTGTGTTCCGGAGTCGTACTCACAGCAAAAATTCTCAGAGTCTATAGAAAAAAAATTCATAGACCGTTGGGTACATTTTTTATAGAAAAAAATTGGCAGACTTTTGGGTCCAATTTTTTTCTATAGAAAAAAAAATTGCAGAACCTTAGCTCCAATTTTTTTCTATAGAAAAAAATTCGCAGAACTTTGGTCCAAGTTTCTTCTATAGAAAAAAATTCGCAGAACCTTTGGTCCAAGTTTTTTCTACAGAAAAAAATTTGCAGAACCTTTGGTCCAAGTTTTTTCTATAGAAGAAAATTCTCAGAACCTGGGATGTAAGTTTTTGTATAGAAAAAAAATTCACAGACACTTGGATCTAAGTTTTTTCTATAGAAAAAATTCGCAGACCTTTGTGTTCAAGTCATTTCTATTGAAAAAGTTCGCAGCCCATTGGGGTTCAAATTTTTCTATACGGCAAATATTCGTAGACCCTTGGGTAGTGGTTTTTATATAGAAAACAATAAACAGATCCTTTGGTCCAAGTTTTTGGCGTAGAAAAAAATCACAGACCACTGGGTCCATGATTTTTCTATAAAAAATCCACAGACCCTTGGGTCTGATTTTTTTATATAAAAATAAATTCCCATACCCTTGGGCCCTACTTTTTTTTCTATAGAAAAAATTCGCAGATCCTTGGGTCTAATTTTTTTTTTGTATGGAAAAAATCGCAGACCCTTGGGTCTAACTTTTTTTGTATGGAAAAAAATTCGCAGAACCTTGGGCCAAAGTTTTTTTTCTATAGATTCTTGGATCCATTATTTTTTTTTTAAATTCCAGAACCTTGGGTCCTTGGGTGTTGAAAACATATTTCTATAGAAAATATATACAACCTCTGAGCCCTGCATTGCATTTAAGTCCGTACCACCACAATCCCCTTAAATGTTGTTTCCTACACCCATTCGAAATATTTATATAACGCAAAATTGTTCCAGAATATATAACCTATTTTACTTGCATTTCACCCACGTTGCATATGTTTCTTGTTCAGTGTTCCCTTTTCAATGTTAAATGTATTTTCCCCAGTTGTTCGCCATATTCATAGCATCTTCTATTTTTTTTCCAAGGAATACCACCGGAGTTTGGATACTGGTGAAAAGAAGCTGTCACGTTCGGCATCAATGATTTCCAGAGAACCGGCTAGTAATTTGATCAAGGGCAAATCAATGCCTAGTTTAAGGTAAGAATTACTAAAATTATAGAACAACAATTTCCCCAGAATTGATGTGGTACACTTAGAACTTGGAACACCTATTAAAAAAAACTTTTTCAAAACAAATAACACGTAAGAACAGATGTCAATTGGGGGCGGGCAGAATTTCTTTTAATTTGAAACCTAAAATTCTACTCAAACCCAAGGGTCTGTGAATTTTTTCTATAGAAAAAAATTGGACCCAAGGGTCTGTGAATTTTGTTCTATAGAAAAAACTAAGAGCCAAGGGTCTGTGAATTGGTTTTTATCAACAAAAACTTTGAAACAAGCCGCAGAAAAACATAGACCCTAGGGTCTGTAAATTCTTTGGTGAATAAAAAAACTTAGACCGAGGGGTCTGTGAATTTTTTTCTTTAGAAAAAACTTGGACCCAAGGGTCAGCTAATTTATTTCTATAGAAAATAAAACAAGGAACATAGGGCTACATAACATTTTAATTAGGAGGTCATACTTTTACAAAAATTCTAAGAAAAAACATGATGAATCCACACCACATTAAAATCCAACCTCACTATCTGCACAAAATCTTGCACTAATTTATTTCTCTAAAAACTCAAAACAAATCAAATGCTTTCCTTTGCTAAAGCTAAGCTTTCCATTTCTTTCACATTTTTCTTTTATTTGTATCCTATCCGATTATTTCATTACAATAAAAAACCAGCTGTCTTCTCGATAGCGGGTGAGTTGTGCTGTTTACCAAAATGAAAATCATGTTCGAAATAAAGAAAAACACACACACTTTTATTTTGTTGCAAAGCAAAAATATATATTATTATAAAAACATCAGCACCATAACATCATTTCATTCGATACGATTTCACTTAATTGGCAACAAAAACAAGATGTTGGGACAAGAACGGAAAATTTTTGAAAATAAAAAGGTTTCTCTAACTCGAAAACGAAAAGTAAATAAATCCAAGTTTCTATTAGGCTTTGCAATGGTTAGTGTTTTATTAAATACTAGTATCTCCTCTATATACATCGACTGAGAGAACAACACAACGCATGAAGGTATAGAAATACCGAGGCTCCTCATGCCTCAGACCATCACCTTATAATTGTCATTCGTCACTTCTAATCGCCACACTTCCCTTAAATGAGTCGTTTATTTTGAAAGCGGTTTAAGTCCATTTTAGGTTCTGTTACACATCATGGGTTTCTAGACATGTTTAAGGGCACAAATCCACAAAAATTTAAATATTTCAAAATATGGACTTAAACCACTTCCAAAAAACGACTCAAATATAAGAAACTCAATTAATAAGAATTCAGAAAGTTCTGAGATTTATCCATCCCTTCTGGCGTTCGGGTAGCATAAAGTAAATTACGAGACGTTAGTACAGCCCCAGATATATTCTTGTTAGTGAATACCCGAAGAAAGAACATAGGTCATAGGTCAGAATCCGCAGAAACCAGCGTTCTACTCGACTGATATCACAACAAGGGAATTAAAATGGAAATCAACATCCGGGTTTCAATTGAATGCTTATGAAAATACCTTTCCATTGAGGTTATCTCAAACCGTTTGGAAAGTAGAGTCACAAAACTGGGGTTTGGACCCCAATCATAATCCCTCACCTGACTTAAATGATATCTGTTGTGAATGAAAATATATGGCCTCAGAACCCCACAAAAACAAGGAAATTCGGTCGCGTAACCTTTGTTGGGTGTTGAGATAACCCCTTCCGGGTACCCGTATCCGAACATTCGGGTCAAATAAAAGGGTAACCGGGTACGTCCACGAAAAAAAATATATCCTCATAATTAGGGCAAAAAATACTTACCTCTGGTAGACAGAGATGTCCACTAGCTCAAAGTTCGTCAATAGCTTTTCGATACGATTCGCATCTGAATCCGTGAAACTACTAATAAGTTTACCCTTAAGCATGTCACACGAATTCTCCAAAGGACCATGGATGATTGTATCTGCAACCTTCTCTTTCTATTGTGTCGAATCTGACAGTTACGGTAGCGTCTGTCAGGACGCTACGCCCGTCAATTGAAATAAAGATTGCCGAACATCTCGAGAGAGATTATGCAAAAAGATGACATGTCGAACAAAATCTGTTCCGTCCAGAAGGTACTTTCACGGAAGACTCTAAGGCGGTGTTGAACAGAAATTGAGAACAGAACTAAATTAGAGCGTAACCGGGAGTAGAGAGAATAAGTATTTAACCATCAAACCTATCGTACTATTTTGTGCACCAGTGTTCTAGGGTTGTTCCGTAGCGAAGTAGTTCATTGAAACTAATCCGAGAGAGGAATAATCGGAACTAGTTGCGACTCTCTCGTTCATGTAGTTCCATTTGTTTATCTCGTTTCTTTATTTGGCATTATTATTTCATCTGATTTCGTTCCTTTTTCTGATCTCATTCCTGTATTCTTCGAACTTTCTCTTCCATGCAAAACGTACGCTCGTCAATGCATTTTACAATCTATCTTTTTTATCCACCAACGAAGCAACACAGATCTAACGATAATGCAAAATGAGCGATAAACGAGAGATTCAAATGAATTATCTAGGACTCCGCTCCGTGAATAAGCGGAAAATCAAAACAAGCTGTAGAACGGTAGGCGTTAGTTGGGTTAGACCTATTAAAATTTTTTAATGTTGTCAGTCAAGAATAAAATGTTATAAAACTATCTAGAAGTTCGAAGTGAATGGAAAAATATAGTAGTTCCTTTCTAGAAAAGGAGCAAGCAATGTCGGTCCGCTCCATGAATTTTTTTCAAAGTGGAACTATGTGAACGACAAAACAAAAGAACTATCTAGAAGTCTGAAATATATGTAGGGAAGCATTTATTTCCTTTATAGGAATAAATAGAGAAAAAAAATTTCTCCGTGAACTAGATTTTCCAACTCTGTGAACTAGATTGTCCAACTCATCTTCAGCCAAGGATAAAATGCTATGTAACTATTTAGGAGTTCGAAGTAAATGGAATAAGAAACTAGTTCCTTTCTAGAAAAGGAACGAGAAAGATCAATCCGCTCTATAAACTCAACTCTACTATTGAGTCAACAATCCTTCCAAAAACCTTTTTACAAGCCAACGACCCGGAACTACTAGAGTAAAAAAGAGAGAAATTTAATTGAACCTAGATAGTTCAACTAATGAAATGAAGTAATATGGACCAATGTGAACAAAAAAGCGAACAGAACGACGAAAGAAGGAATTATATGGAGGGAAGGATTTTTATTATGGAACTAGATCCTTTCTGGAAAGGAAACGAGAAAAATCATTCCTAGAAAAGGAACAAGAAAGATAAATCCGCTCCATAAACCAAACTCTACTATTGAGTCAACATTCCTTTCAAAAACCTTTTTCAACGACCAACGAATCAACCCGGAACTATGTGAAAAATTAAAAACAAACAGAGAGAAATTAAAATGAACTATTTAATAGAACTATATGAAGTTATGGAACTAGTTCCTTTTTGAAAAATAACTTATTGTTCGGATCCGTGAATAAGCGGAAAATCAGAACAAGCTATAGAACGGTAACGGTTTGTTCGATTTGTCCTATTAAAAGTCTTTGATGTTATCATCGTCTTCGAAAACACTTCAATTTATATGGAACAATGTGAACGAAAAGAACGATGAAGGAGAGAGATTCGAATGGACTATCTTGTAGTCGGAGCTATATGGAGGGAAGGATTTTTAATATGAAACTAATTCCTTTCTAGAAAGGAAGTGACAAACATCATTTATATAAAAAGAACAAGAAAGATCACATCGCTCCGTAAACCCAACGCCACTATTGAAACAACTTTCATTCCTAAAACATTTTTCACCGTCCAACGAATCAACCCGGAATTAGAAAGAAAAACAAAGAGAGAAAGAGAGATTCAATAAACTATCTAGGAGTCGGAATTACATGTCGAGAAGGATTTAGTTCATTTCTGGAAAAGAAATTCGCCCCGTGGATATGAAAACATGAACAAGCTATAGAACGGTAGTGGTTTTTTTATATCATGACACATCATTTTTCGAAAACATTTCAAACTATATGGAACTATGTGAAGGGCAAAACGAAAAGAACGATGGAAGGGAGGGAGAAAGAAAGTTATTTGAATGCACTATCTAGGAGTCGGAACTATATGGATCGAAGGAACTATATTATGGAACTAGTTCCTTTCTAGAAAAGAACTCGACTACACAACTCTACTCTTGAGGCAATATTCCTTCCTAGTATCTGGGATAACTATCCAGTGGTTTCATCTTAAGTCGAAGACAAAGCCAAACAATCTATGAGGTTGGATTTGACCTATGAAAAATCTTTGATCCTGGCATTCGTGACACACCATTTGGGGACTGCTAGAACCATTTCTTCTGTGCAAGATTTAAACGTAGAATAAGCAATTATATGTGGGTTTAGTGATAAGTGGAGTTACGAAATATAAAGCTTAAACCCCGGAGCTCTTCCTCCATTCATCGAGAAAATCATTACGTGTGCTGATGATTGGAAGATCAGAAGTTTTGTTTTGTATAGGATTAGTTGAACGTCCACTCGAGGGATGTGAAAATATCTGCCACGAATTTTCGCCCACACTGTCTGCTACAGTTGGATCGTTCCGACCGAAACTAGTTCAAAGAAACTATTCTGCGAAAGGAACGATCGGTACTAGTTGCAGACTTTCGTTCAGCTAGTTCATTTTAATCTAGTCGTTCCTATTTGCTCTCGTTCACCTAGTTCTTTGTGCTCCAATCGTTCATCTAGATCTTACCGTTGCCAAAGAAAGATTGAACTAAAATTAACTAAAAGCTATGGAACCTAGTTCATGTTGTGGAGGGAATCGAAAAGGATCAATCCGCTTTAGGAATGAGATTTACCAACTCTATTGTCTACCAAATGGTCATCCAATAATAAACTACTCTCGCAGTTCTTGGCCTTATTAATTTGCCACTTGCTGGTAATTAAAAAAATTACTTTCGAGTTAGAGAAACGCCAACCGCTTTTGTCCCTTTCTATTAAAATTTGAAAAAACACCAACAACTACATTATTCTATTAAACTGTTATTGAGTTCAAATTGTGTTTTATGCATATTTCTTGCTTCTCATGTTTGTTGCACCACTTTATGACTAAAAATACCCCCTTTATAACTCCCCCAAAACACCCACCCCGAATCCAAGTAATTGTTTAACGAGTTTCGTTCCAAGTAGAGCTTTGTTGCTGCGTTACTTAAAATTAAACAAAAAATTATATTTTGTATATATGAGCTTTTTTCTTACAGTATTTACAACAATAATATTGAAAACTCATCCTGCACCATCATGTCATCTTTGTTAACTAATGTTCGGTTTGTTTTTTTGTCGATTCATATATTCCCCCCACAATGGAATATTGAAATATTGAAGATTTTACAGATATGTTGAACCGCCCAAGGTTATGAGATCATCACAATCATCGAGCCAGAGGACGACATTTTATCCACGAAATCCCATTATCACGGTGACGGAACATACACCAACACCATCTCCGGATTATATGAAGAGACAGGTAGGAAGGCAACCTCATCAGAAAAAGTTTATACCCCAAATATGTAACACCATTTATCTTCCTGCAGGGCTCCATTGACTCCCAATTGGATGCCATGAGCAGTGGTGGTAGCATTGGTGGCGGTATGCAGGGTGCCAATGGCTACAATGGCAGCATGGCTGGATTGTCTACCAGCAATGTGGGCTCTCGTTTTCGTGGCCATATGTTGCGATCGAATACCGATTCTCATATTGATTATACTGGAGTGGATGAATCGGAGGCACCCGGATCTTCGTTCTATATTACCCGTGATGGAGGCATAGATTATGAAATTGTATTACTGGCCGTATTGAATGTCTTTAAGCGCGATTTGACTGTAGTATCGTTGAGGGTGCTGGAATCAGGTCTTAATATATGTGAACTTCTATTGGAAATGGGTGTCCTCAAGTTGGGCGAACATGCCCATGAAATATCTATGGGAATCATAAGGAGAGCCTTGCAAGTTCTGGGTTGTCCAAATGGTTGTAATGATGGTAAGTGGATCAAAGAGAAAATATTATTGGGATAACGGAGGTTTTTGTATGGGAAATGTTGTCCGGATAAGGTTTCCGTATAGGAAATGTTATCCGGATGGGGTTTCCGTATAGGAAATGTTATCCGGATAGGGTTTCCGTATAGGAAATGTTATCCGGATAGGGTTTCCGTATAGGAAATGTTATCCGGATAGGGTTTCCGTATAGGAAATGTTATCCGGATAGGGTTTCCGTATAGGAAATGTTATCCGGATAGGGTTTCCGTATAGGAAATGTTATCCGGATAGGAAATGTTATCCGGATAGGGTTTCCGTATAGGAAATGTTATCCGGATAGGGTTTCCGTATAGGAAATGTTATCCGGATAGGGTTTCCGTATAGGAAATGTTATCCGGATAGGGTTTCCGTATAGGAAATGTTATCCGGATAGGGTTTCCGTATAGGAAATGTTATCCGGATAGGGTTTCCGTATAGGAAATGTTATCCGGATAGGGTTTCCGTATAGGAAATGTTATCCGGATAGGGTTTCCGTATAGGAAATGTTATCCGGATAGGGTTTCCGTATAGGAAATGTTATCCGGATAGGGTTTCCGTATAGGAAATGTTATCCGGATAGGGTTTCCGTATAGGAAATGTTATCCGGATAGGGTTTCCGTATAGGAAATGTTATCCGGATAGGGTTTCCGTATAGGAAATGTTATCCGAATAGGGTTTCCGTATAGGAAATGTTATCCGGATAGGGTTTCCGTATAGGAAATGTTATCCGGATAGGGTTTCCGTATAGGAAATGTTATCCGGATAGGGTTTCCGTATAGGAAATGTTATCCGGATAGGGTTTCCGTATAGGAAATGCTATCCGGATAGGGTTTCCGTATAGGAAATGTTATCCGGATAGGGTTTCCGTATAGGAAATGTTATCCGGATAGGGTTTCCGTATAGGAAATGTTATCCGGATAGGGTTTCCGTATAGGATATGTTATCCGGATAGGGTTTCAGTATAGAAAATATTATCCGGATAGTGTTTCCGTATAGGAAATGTTATCCGGATAAGGTTTCCGTATAGGAAATGTTATCCGGATACGGTTTCCGTATAGGAAATGTTATCCGGATAGGGTTTCCGTATAGGAAATGTTATCCGGGTAGGGTTTCCGTATAGGAAATATTATCCGGATAGGGTTTCCGTATAGGAAATATTATCCGGGTAGGGTTTCCGTATAGGAAATATTATCCGGATAGGGTTTCCGTATAGGAAATATTATCCGGATAGGGTTTCCGTATAGGAAATGTTATCCGGATAGGGTTTCCATATAGGAAATGTTATCCGGATATGGTTTCCGTATAGGAAATGTTATCCGGATAGGGTTTCCGTATAGGAAATGATATCCGTATAGTTCTATATATAAAAATGTTATTCGGATAGGGTTTCCGTATGGGGAATGTTATCCGGATACGATTTGCTTATAGAAAATGTTTTCTGGATATGGTTTCCGTATAGGAAATGTTATCCGGATAATGTTTTTCGCATCGAAATCTCTTTGGGAAATATTATAAATAATGATGTATTTTCTTTCCTTTCAGGTGTTCGTGGACCTCCTGCCGATTTTCTGCGCAGTCAGTGTCAAAAGATCCTCTCACGTCTGCTGCGCCATGCAAGCCAACGAACCAAAAAATATCTACAGGAAATGGTAAAAAATTCCGGCCTACAAGAGTTGGTTGACTTTTTCCATGCTTTCTGTGCGTTTTGTGTGGATCCAAGTTCCCTATTATCACCGCTAAGTAAGTTCGATATAATCGTTAGATCGGAAAGAAACCCGTTAGATATTAGTAATGAATTAATTTCAAATGTGATTCATTGAGATTAGTTGCATACATACATTCGACTGCGCGTAATTACAATGGGCAACAAAAACAAAAAAATAAATACGTATGTAGTTTCTGCCCTAGCCAATAATCTCTTAACTTTCATACATTACACTAGCAAAACTGTTACAAAAAAATATTTTCAAAAAATAAAAATTATTGCATGTTTTGATAAAATTGCTTTAATTGAGCTTTCAGTTGCTTGGAAAATGCTTTTTTGGATAAATTTTCGAAATTAAATTAAACATAGTCAAATAATTAAATATTATGCATGGAATTTAAATCTTATTTTGCTACGAGTAAATCAAAATTTTGTGAAAGAAAAAATATTGGATTAATTTTCTACTGAAAGTCTTATCCGGATAACGGTTACAAAAATTGTTGATTGCATGTTTTCCTCAGATTATTGGCTTCTTTTACTTGTAGCATATTATAGCTTTTAATAAAAAAAAATGCCTTAAAATTAATTTCGTTAATCGTTTTGTTCCCCCCTTTAAAAATCTCCCATCCATCCTTGTCTCTCGCTCTCTATCTCTTACAACAACACCGTCCGATAACGCATCTATTTGTTTGTTTGTTTTGATAACACCCACACAAACACACACTTTCTTTCTTTCTCTCTTTATTTCTGTCTATCTGTCTCTTTCTTCTATATATCTTATATTTCTTTCAATATAACGCTATGCAACAACTGTCTGTAACTAAAAAACACTCACACACACCCACACACATTACTGTACAAAATAACATCAAAACACCAACAACAACAAAAATATCGAATATCGAACACACCAAAATAGCTCATAAACGCACGAGTGCCTTTAAAAATCTTAACACCGATCTTGGCAATGGTGTATCCTCATCAGGCGGTCAAGGCGGATATTCGACAAATTTCAGTGGCGGCCTAAGTGGTGGCCCGGAGGCTCAAGTTATTGCTGCGGTGTTTAAACCATTGGTAACACGATTTGTGAATGCCTCGAAGGAGTTGAAGTCGGTGGAAAATACCAGTCTCTATAGTGATGTTCGCCAGTTTATAACCTATGTCAAGGGAGCCCATGGTGGACCATTCCGTTTGGTGGCTCTTAGTGGTATATTGGCGGTAACGCCAAGGCCACACAAGAAGGGGCCAGCATCACAGACTACCCGAGTTATAAGGTGAGTTCAATTCGGATAAACATTTTCATGAAGAAACCGTTATCCTGATAAGATTTCCTATACGGAAACCGGAATCAGGTCAAATTTTCTATGCGAACACCATCAGGATAACATTTTCTATACGGAAACCATATCGGGATAACATTTCCTAAAGAGAAACCCAATCAGGATAACACTTTCCATACGGAAACCCTACCCGGATAACATTTCCCATAAGAAAACTCTATTCGGATAACATTTCCTATACGGAAACCTTATCCGGATAACATTTCCTATACGGAAACCTTATCCGGATAACATTTCCTATACGGAAACCTTAACCGGATAACATTTCCTATACGGAAACCTTATCCGGATAACATTTTCTATACGGAAACCTTATCTGGATAACATTTCCTATACGGAAACCTTATCTGGATAACATTTCCTATACGGAAACCTTATCTGGATAACATTTCCTATACGGAAACCTTATCTGGATAACATTTCCTATACGGAAACCTTATCCGGATAACATTTTCTATACGGAAACCTTATCCGGGTAACATTTCCTATACGGAAACCTTATCCGGATAACATTTCCTATACGGAAACCTTATCCGGATAACATTTCCTATACGGAAACCTTATCCGGATAACATTTCCTATACGGAAACCTTATCCGGATAACATTTCCTATACGGAAACCTTATCCGGATAACATTTCCTATACGGAAACCTTATCCGGATAACATTTCCTATACGGAAACCTTATCCGGATAACATTTCCTATACGGAAACCTTATCCGGATAACATTTCCTATACGGAAACCTTATCCGGATAACATTTCCTATACGGAAACCTTATCCGGATAACATTTCCTATACGGAAACCTTATCTGGATAACATTTCCTATACGGAAACCTTATCCGGATAACATTTCCTACACGGAAACCTTATCCGGATAACATTTCCTACACGGAAACCCTATTCGGATAACATTTCCTATAGGGAAACCTTATCCGGATAATATTTCCTATAGGGAAACCTTATCCGGATAACATTTCCTATAGGGATACCTTATCCGGATAACATTTCCTATAGGGAAACCTTATCCGGATAACATTTCCTATAGGGAAACCTTATCCGGATAACATTTCCTATAGGGAAACCTTATCCGGATAACATTTCCTATAGGGAAACCTTATCCGGATAACATTTCCTATAGGGAAACCTTATCCGGATAACATTTCCTATACGGAAACCTTATCCGGATAACATTTCCTATACGGAAACCTTATCCGGATAACATTTCCTATACGGAAACCTTATCCGGATAACATTTCCTATACGGAAACCTTATCCGGATAACATTTCCTATACGGAAACCTTATCCGGATAACATTTCCTATACGGAAACCTTATCCGGATAACATTTCCTATACGGAAACCTTATCCGGATAACATTTCCTATACGGAAACCTTATCCGGATAACATTTCCTATACGGAAACCTTATCCGGATAACATTTCCTATACGGAAACCTTATCCGGATAACATTTCCTATACGGAAACCTTATCCGGATAACATTTCCTATACGGAAACCCTATCCGGATAACATTTCCTATACGGAAACCCTATCCGGATAACATTTCCTATACGGAAACCCTATCCGGATAGCATTTCCTATACGGAAACCCTATCCGGATAACATTTCCTATACGGAAACCCTATCCGGATAACATTTCCTATACGGAAACCCTATCCGGATAACATTTCCTATACGGAAACCTTACCCGGATAACATTTCCTATACGGAAACCTTATCCGGATAACATTTCCTATACGGAAACCTTATCCGGATAACATTTCCTATACGGAAACCTTATCCGGATAACATTTCCTATACGGAAACCTTATCCGGATAACATTTCCTATACGGAAACCTTATCCGGATAACATTTCCTATACGGAAACCTTATCCGGATAACATTTCCTATACGGAAACCTTATCCGGACAACATTTTTCTATATGGAAACCTTATCCGGATAACATTTCCTATAAGGAAACTCTATCTGGATAACATTTCCTATACGGAAATCTTATCCGGATAACATTTCTTATACGGATACCCTTTCCTGTACGGAAACCCCATAATATTTCCTATACGGAAACCTTATCCGAATAACTTATCCGGGTAACATTTCCTTTTGCGAATCCATTATCTTACACCAATCCCTACTTTATTCCAGGCACATACCCCAGGCAGAGGTTGCTCAAAGTGTCCAAAATGATGACAACCGCTCTCAGAGGCGTCTCTTACTGAAAAAGAGAAGCACATCATCCGCTTGTGCCGTGGTAAGTCTCCCTCTTAGAAATGTCTTGAAAGAACATTTCAATTATATTCATTCTCCCTCTCCTTACCTCGACAGAGCCTTCTCGAAACCGAACCCTGTGACGAACACTACAAAACCAGTCAATCGCCGTTGAGCAACTTCCGACGACGCACAACTGGCATACGACCCACCCTGACGCCACGCCACAGTGAACGACAACTACTCTCAGACTCAACCTCAAGTTCGGAGAGAAATTCTCTTGGACGCTTGAGTGGTTTGGTACGTTGGTTCAAGGGTACCCCAAAAGAAGCTTCATCCATTGATTTAGAAATCGGTTCCCTGAATCCTGAAATGTCAACGACATTTGTTAGACATCCCTCATTGAAAATCCAAAGGGGGAGGTCTAGTGATGGCATTGGCCGTTCCATACAGAGAGCCAAGAGAAGAGTTGAACGTCGGCTAAATCGTTTCGGTGGCATTGTTAAGGGTAAAAAGAAACAGGGTGGCATTGAAGAGACGGCAGATTATAGTAGACGTAGCTCATCGGATATGTGTGATGGTCCCAGAGAATCAGAAGTGGTGGTACTGAAGGAACGTAAGCTAATACCATTGGAACCGGTTAGGATTGGTATGTTACGCCTGTCTTTTCTGCTGGAGACCTGTGCTCCCGGATCATTTCCGGATCCTCAATTGGTGGCGGCGGTTTTGGATTTGGTAGGGTGTAAATAAATCTCCTAGGAGCATTTTCTAATTGCTGTCTTTTTAGCCCCAAGCTCCCTTGGTTACCCGAGCCACCTTCCTATTGGAATGTGCTCATTTTGTGCATTTGTGCAACAAGGGTCAATGGCCCACCTGGATGAAACAAAATGTGGCTGGATATAGACCCTCAGGAGCCAACATCAATGCCAGTCAAATAAAACAACAAATGGGTACCACAAGTTCTCGGCGTACCCATATTCTGCAGAGAGCTGCTGGCAAAATGTTCCATCAGGTAGGTTCTACAATTATAAGTCCCGAAACAGATTCTTCAAATCTCTTTTTTCACAAAATTTCTTTAGTGGGCTGAAATGTTGGGCGCCCGTCTGGAGGAAATACTCTTCACCGAACGCCTGCAGTATGAGAATGTCAATGCCAGCCTTACAGATCCCGAAAAACAGCGAGAACTTTTGCAACAAGACGAAGAAGAGGATTTCCTAGATGAGGCTTCCGTCAATCCCCACGGCAATGATTGTCCACACGCCTTGAAGTTGATCGCCTGTGTACTGCTCTTTGAAATCACCGCCTTTTTGCGGGATATTTATGTTACGCTGCCGAAGGCATCGAAATTGCTGCACAAAGATAAACCAGCACCCTGGGAAAAGGTATACCGTGAAGCAAATCGTCGTTGGTCAATGGCTTTAAGTTCTATGGGTCATTCGCAGACATCGGCACAGAGTCTACAATCGATTGCGGCCGGCAATGATGCAGCGGGTGGCCAGACTGAAAGGAAAATATCATTTGTACTCCATGAACCGGACAATGAATCGGAGAATAGCAGTAATACAACGTTGACCAAGGAGGGAGAGGAAGGTGAGGATTAAAAAACAGAGCTAAAAGGATTTTAAAATTCATCTTTACTCATTAAAAAAACATGCGTTTAAAGGTCCTCCTCTAAAAAATCCACGCCTCTACAGGCCCTTAAGAAAATATTTTAAAAATCTACGCCTCTATAGGTCCTTAAAAAATATTTTAAAAATCTACGCCTCTATAGGTCCTTAAAAAATATTTTAAAAATCTACGCCTCTATAGGTCCTTAAAAAATATTTTAAAAATCTACGCCTCTATAGGTCATTAAAAAATATTTTAAAAATCTACGCCTTTTTTGGCCCTTAAAAAATATTTTAAATATCTACGCCTATTTTGGACCTTAAAAAATATTGTTTAAACATCCAGCCTATTTTGGCACTTGAAAAAATATTCTTTAAAAAATCCACGCCTATATTAGACCTTGAAGTCCGAACCCTATTAAAATATAAAAAAAAATCCCGTCTATATCTACTTTCGCATATTTTCCAGCTCGACGCCCACCAGCCTCTGCAGTGAGACCCTTCCTGTTACGGCGTGGTACCGCCACCACAACTGGTGGATCATTTAAACGGCGCTCACTAAAACTACGACGCAACACCAAGGATGGCAAAGATATGGAAACAGATTGTACGTATGACCACTTGACATCACAGAGAACCAAATTTTATAAAAATACATTTTTCGTTCGTACAGTCAAGCGTGTCGATTCGATTCAGGCCAAACGTAAAGTATCCTCACTATCTGATCGCAGTGATACCTCGGAACAGGGTATTGCCAGCGGCGGAGAGGATGACCATGGTTCACCGGGCATTTTAAGTGATGATCAGCAGCCGGAATCACCAACCGATTCAAATGAGACAGATGAAACAGCGAAGAATATGCCATGGCTAAAGGCTGTCATCGATTTGATTAGTAGCTATAATTTCTATTGTCAACACAAGGGCTATTGTCATCCGTATTGTTATAAGCGGCACATGAGGGCCTGTACGCGATTGGTCAAGGCAACAAGGAAGGTAAGTTTAAAGATTTTAGTTTTTAAAAGAAAATATATTTGTATACCGACAAAAATATGCCTCATCGAAATATCGTTTCTTGGACCATAATCATTTCAGACAATTGGTAGCCGATTTAGAAATGTCCGTCTGTCTACCGAAGGGAATTAGCGATTTAATCCGAAGCATGCACATCACTTTATTTGTACCAAACATTGATCAAGTCCGAAAATGTGTGTAATCCTTGTAGTGCCCCAAAGAGTCATAATTTTGAAAAGTTGTAAATTGCATATGCCATTTGGTCTATTGAGTACGCAGACCTACATAAAACCCAAAGGTGGTACCTAGCAACTGATGACCAACTCTTTGATTAAAACATAATTTAAAGCGAATATTGAGTCATGTGTGGCATGATAGACCTTAATATTAACCCTACATTTAGGATAACTATAGGTGTGAACCTCCGCATAGATGTCAAATTAAAAGAAAGTTCCAAATATTTTGAAGTTTCTTCTTCTAATATTCATCCGAAATGTTTGTAATTTGAAGGTTATAGCGGTGGTGGGGAAGTGCACCACCGAAATGCTTGTAATTAGGCAATACGGTCTCTTGGAGGGTAAGAACCACAGTTGCAGGATGTTTTTGATATTGATCATGGTTTCACATACTGTAAAAAAATCAGCCCGGTCCATTATATATCCGATTCGTTTTCAGTATCTTGAAAACAACACATTCCGTCCCATATATAATGGTCTGGCCCCATTTTCAATATTTTAAAAGTTGTACCCACATTTCCCCACCGACTTATCAGTAAATTGAAATTTCAAGTTCCTTCACCAGACTGTGGTACAGGGTATTATGTCTTTGTGCATATGTGTGTAACAGGCAAAAGGAAACGAGATAGACACATGGTTCCTTTTGAGAATATGCATAGAATCACTTTCTAAGTCGATTTATTCATGTCCGTCCGTCTGTCTGTCTGTCCATGTTAAATTGTAAAAAAAAGTACAGGTCGCATTTATGATCCGAATCGGATGAAATTTGGCACAGCTCATTAGTTTGGCCCAAGGACGAACCCTATTGAAATTGGGAAAAATCGGTTCAGATTTAGATATAGCTCCTGTATATATTTTCGTCCAATTTAAGGTAAATGGTGCACCAAAGTCCCTATATATCTTTCGATTTCCACGAAATTTGGCACAGCGTAATGAATAAGGTCACGAATGATGGTAAATGGTGCACCAAAGTCTCTATATATCTTTCGATTTGAACGAAATTTGGCAAAACGTACTAAATTAAGTCTAGAATGATATGTTCAAAGTTCTGTGAAAATCGGCTCAGATTTAGATATAGCCCCCATATATAGCTTCGCCCGATTTTAGGTAAATAGTCCACTAAAGTCTCTGGAAATCTTTTGATTTGCACGAATTTTGGAAGAGTGTACTGAATTAAGTCTAGAATGATGTGTGAAAAGTTTTGAGAAAATCGGTTCAGATTTAGATATAGCTCCCATATATAGCTTCACCCGATTTTAGGTAAATAGTCCACTAAAGTCCTTGGAAATCTTATGACTTCCACGAAATTTGGCACAGAGAAATGAATAAGGTCTAGAATGATGTTTGCCAAGTTTCGTTAAAATCGGTTCAGATTTAGATATAGCTCCCATATATATCTTCGTCCGATTTAAAGTTAATTGTGTACCAAAGTCCCTATATATCGTTCGATTTGCACGAAATTTGGCACAGCGTACTAAATTAAGTATAGAATGATGCGTGCAGTTTCGTGACCGATTTTAGGTAAATAGTCCACTAAAGTCCCTGGAAATATTTTGATGTGCACGAAATTTGGCACAGAGTTATGAATATGATCGAGAATGATGTTTGCCAAATTTCGTGAAAATCGGTTCAGATTTAGATACAGCTCCCATATGTATTTTCATCCGATTTAAGGTAATTGGTGCACCAAAGACCCTATATATCTTTCGATTTGCACGAATTTTTGTATAGGATACTGAATTAAGTGTAGAATGATATTGCTAAGCTTCGTAATATAGATTTATAACAAAACGCGTCGTCTGTTAGGATACATATGTAAAATATACCCAAATTGGTGAAGGGTATCATATAGTCGGCCCAGTCCGACTTAACAACTTTCCTTACTGTTTTTTTAGAATGAGCTAAAAATATCGTTTCCACACGATCCCCCAACTTTAACTACTCCAATCTGTGGTAAACTTGGATTGATTTTCTTTAATTAATAGAAAAAAGACAAGACTTAGGAAAGCCCCTTAAACATGCCATTATAAAACCACTATGCCCTAAAAACACCAGTAGTATTCAAGTTCTTAAGAATACGAGTATAGATTACACTGTGCTACAAAATAACAAAAAAAATTTTTTCAGGGGTTCTATTGTACCAATTCAGTTTAGTTGGAGTCACTGGATCACGAAAATACCTTTGGTTTTTCTGGGTCACTTCGAAAATTAATTTTATAACGGTAAATATGGAGAAAAACGTAGTTTCATGGATTTTCCATTTGAAAATTGAATAACTTATTTACTTTATAACGGATTTATATTATTCTTTTTTTCTTTCGAATACTACAATATTTCCTTTTAAACAAGATATATATTTGGTAAATCGGTTGAGGATTGGCTGAGTTACAGCGGTTGAAATGTGGAAAAATACGCATAAAATGACAAAATTTATTTTTCTTCGGACTGTACGATGAAATTATGATATCAAGTCATATAAGTTTTATTATATTACGGGAAGAAAATTAAATTAGCTTTCGAAAATGTTAAAAATCAAAAAAATCTGTTAAAAAATGGATGACTTATACACATTTTTGTATTGATTCTATGCATATTCTCTAAAGGAAATATGGGTCTATCTCGTTTCCCTTTGCCTGTTGCAAACATAACGGTTTGTAACAGGAAACGATACAGACCCATATTTCCTTTAGAGAATATGCATAGAATCAATACAAAAATGTGTATAAGTCATTCATTTTTTAACCGATTTTTTTGATTTTTATCATTTTCGAAAGCTAATTTAATTTTCTTCCCCGTAATATAATAAAACCTATATGGCTTGATATCATAATTTCATCGTACAGTCCGAAGAAAAATAAATTTTGTCACTTTATGCGTATTTTTTCACATTTCAACCGCTGTAACTCAGCCAATCCTCAACCGATTTACCAAATATATATCTTGTTTGAAAGGAAAAATTGTACTCTTCGATAGAAAAAAAGAATAGTATAAATCCGTTATAAAGTAAATAAGTTATTTAAGTTTCAAATGGAAAATCCATGAAACCGCATTTTTCTCTATATTTACCGTTATAAAATTAATTTTCGAAGTGACCCAGAAAAACCAAAGGTATTTTCGTGGTCCAGGGACTTCAACTAAACAGAATTGGTACATTAGAACCCCTGAAAAATTTTCGTGTCGCACAGTGTTATTATTATATTTCCCTGATGCCATTATAAATCCACTATGCCCTAAAAACACCAGTAGTATTCAAGTTCTAAAGAATACGAGTATCGAGTATTATTATATTTCCCTGATTCTTAATTAAACAAATAAAAATTCCATAAAAACATTTGTTCAAGTTCTGCCTCCTGTGAGGATTGAACTCACGACCCCTGGTTTACGAGACCAGTGCTCTACCACTGAGCTAAAGAGGCGGAATGGCAAGCTGTCGCGTAAAAGGTTAGAAAAGTAAATCGTGTAGGTGTTAGTCACGTCACATTAGCGAAAAGTTATACTTCAAAGTGTTTTGTTTTCTACGAACTTCAAATTAATTTTCGTTTCTTTTGATATTTTTGGTTAAGGGCACATAGAGCGATCGTTTTGTTTTATTGTTACAAGAAATGGCAAAATGATGACGATGACTCAAATACTAGCGGCAATAACAACAACAATGCCACTGATAACATTGTTATGACTAGTGTTGTTGTTGCTGCTGATCTAGTGATACCGGTGGGGAAGTGTTTAGTTTTTTGTTATCGTCATAATAGTCAGCCACTATTACTAGACTATGCAAAATTTTATTTTGTTGGGGGTTTCTCCCTTCATTAGAGTGTAACGAATCTGATATTTGTTTGCGAGTATACAAATATGTAGATTATACCAAAAATTCCGGAATTCCTGTACCGAAAGGTATTTTTAGATGGCCATAAAAACTATTTACAACTACAAGAGTCATTTAGTGCCTATATTCTTGTACAGTTGATATCGGATATAAGCACATCTCATATAAGAAAAAATCGCAAGATTATTAAAAACACCGAGCTTATACTTTCTTATATCCGATAATTCCATATAAGAAAAAACGCATATAAGAAAGAAATTTCCGGCTTTTTCAGTTTCTTATATCCGATATCTACTGTAAATGACATTTGGTTCTTCAAAATTATTTAAATATCCGGAAATATCAAAACATACACGTTCCGTTAAGTAAACGTAGCCAAATATTTCAATATACCTAAAATCTGATGTTTTCAAGGTGGATTACAAACAAGGTCCGGGTGGCTGCTTCAACACAAAATATCACACGGTATTTATAAAAATAGAGTGACTGTTAAAAAAATAAATAGGTAAAAAAATCCTACCCTCATACAAATGCCTGCCCATTGTTATTTATATCCTCCATCATGAGGTAGATTGTACATTTCATTCCGTTTGCAAAACCTCGAAAGATTCGTCGTAGACCCTATTGAATTGATCAGAATACAATTCTATATCGATATCGCGATGTCTATCGGCCTGCCTGTTGAAATCTCGATAGAGATCGCAATATTTAAGATAGAGGTTTGAAATTTTGTAAAAATTTTCGGTATTACAAATGGGGGTATATCGGTCCTTTTTTATGGTGACCCATACACTACAATATTGAGTTTTGGTAATGTTTACCAATCTAATTGGCTATAATTGGATATTTAGATTCTCATTGAGGGAAAATCCCTTACCAAAAATTACCAATATTGACCCATGTTTCGCGCAACCCCCATATAACGGTACCCCATTACACGGTATTATGAAGCTTTCAAAGTTCCTACTAAAAATCATAAAAATTAACATTGATCTACATTTTGTGGTAGCAACCATGTAACGATACCCCGCACCATTCGGTATTTTGATGCTTTTGGGGACATTTTTCAGCCCAATGTTCCTATTAAAAATTATAAATATTGTTCCACTTTTTATTCAGTATTTTAGGGATATTGGGTATGTTTTCAGCCGAATTGGCTGTAATTTAGCTATAACGATACCACCCGAATTTCTGTATTTTGGGTACATAGGACATGTGATTCAATCAAAAATTAATGTAATTTTATATTTTGGATTCTCAATTTTGGTATAATCTCACTTTTCAGTATTTTGTGGATTTCGCACATATTTTTCAACTGCCAACCCGATGAGTGATATATGCCGGATCCTGGCCCAACCTGAATGATAGAGAGGTGGTTATTTCGTTTTCTCTTTAAAGCCTTGATCGATTTTAAATATTTTGAATATCCACCTCATGGTGGATGGTATAAAAGTTAACGACGTTTTTACTTGTTATGGTCCGAAGTATATTAGGTATTTTGATGGTGATATGCTCATTATCGATCAAAAGTAGCGTGAATTGTGCGTCTCGGTTTTTAGAGGATAAAAAGCATTCTGGTTGAAAATCCAATGTCTCGACATAGCACCCATATATCGGTCCCGCTTCCTTTTAGCTATTTTACAGGTCCTAGCTAATTTTTATACCCTACACAACTATGTTGTCAGGGTATTATAGCTTTGTGCAGCCCCAAGAGTTTTTAACGCCTCGAAATATTGGTCCTAGACTCATCTAGACATGTGTGTCCGTCCGTCTGTCTGTCAGTCCATTATAATTTGTAAACTCGATACAGACCACAGTTATGGATCAATCTTCACGAAATTGCATGTAGAATGGGTTCTGTCCAATGAAGATCCCTATTGTTTTTAGTAAAATCGGTTAATATTTAGGGGTTGAAATGCACCAAATTTTTAATTTTTGTTGGTTTTTCTGGTCGCTCCAGAGGCAGCAATTATGGTCCAAACATTGCGGAAATCGTACACCTGAAGGACATAGACCCGAGAAGTTGATAATATATCCAAGAGGAGTGGTTGAGCTTTAAGTTGATACCAATTTTATTGTCGTATGCACTCGGATGTGGAAGATACACTTAAATATTTACAGGTTCTTACATATTCATATATTATTTAGTAACTCATTACCACACAAGAGGACGGAAATATAGAGCTGATCGCTTTGAAATTTTCCATTTTCCATGTATGGGCAAGGACAACGCCTATAATTTTCGGTGATGATCAGATAATAATATTGGGATGAAGTGGACCGAAATCTTAATTGTTTGTGTTTTTTCGATCCGATCTATAGGCCACAATTGAAAGCCGAACATCACAACAACCAACGGTGAAGGGAATCTGGACAAGTAATTGGAAGAGCTGTACAGAATATTGGTAATATTTGATGACCTTAAGAGGGTGCAAATATTGCGAAATATTGTACAAGCTCAGAATGTAGTACCACAGAAAGTTAGATTTTCGTGAAATTTGTGTAGGGTATTATATGGTCGGCCAATTCCAACTATACTACCGCTCACTCCGAAGTGATTTTAATTGTCTCAAATTAGCAGGTCTCCGACGATGAAATATCTCCGACAGGAAATTGTCAACATTTTCCGACCAATGGGTCATTATTAGCCTATGAAAGTACTCAGAAGTTACAGACAAAAAAATTCAGTATAAGTCCATGTTTTGACATGTTCATGTTTTCTATATTTTCGTGTTTTCGAAGAATAAGAACAATCTTCGCCATTTTCGGTACATCCTTCGAGGTCTCTGGCAGAATGTTTTCTATTAAGATTCATATTTCGATATAGCCCTTACATACAGACAGACATAAAACCTACCCACCATCAGGCATATTGGACTATGTGGCTCTAAAAGGTCATATGGTGCAGTTATCTGCGAATCAAATTCTAATTTATCAGTGTTCGACATTTGTCTTCTCTCCAAAGGCAGCCCTTTTCAAGGAGATTTTTTGTTGATGGACCGAAAGTCCATTTATTTCAACCATCAAATAAATTTTCTTTAGCACGTCCAGTGGCAGATTTCTGTGACTGATGGACCCTATCAACAATATTAAAGATCTCAATTACACCCCAGTCTTATGAAGAAGAACTGTTGGTTTTTTGAGGGCCCAAAAGACTAGAGGCAATGGTCTAGATACCTTTAAAAAATGACCTTTTACAAATTGTTTATCTTCCCTACATGATCTGCGCCAGTCTTCATTGTCCTCTCTCCTGGCTTGTAATATACTTCATTCGGTCAGTCCCATGAAAAAGTATCTAAAAATTAGATGTAGAGGATCAGTAAGGCCTGAATAGTATTCATATAGATTCAGTCGCCCAGACAATAGAACAATACCCAGACCAATACGAGTAATCTTAACTCTGCTAATATCAGGAATGTGCAACTGCTTCAAATTCTAAATAGACTCGATGCCCAACACATGCACAGCATTTTTTACTGGATCACTCAACATTTTGCACCTCAAACTGGAGGTCAAAAGCTCATCAAAAAACATGATTGTTTGAATGTGTTGGGATATATTTTTTCTTTGAAACCAGACTTCCTCAAGGGTCGAGTCCCTTTCGATGTTCCCATCCTACAATCGCTATCAGTATCATTCCAACGCCAACTGATAGCTGGGTTTAACTGAAACAAATTCACCTGATTTTTACTTAGTTCTAACCTTATAAAAATATATATTTTGAAATATAGGTCCATGTTTTGATCAAACTTCTATATGTATATCCTGCCATTTTAGGTATTTTGATGATGCTGGGTGCAATCTCGAACCACAATGGCTGTAATTTAGCATTCTGTAGAAAACAATTCTTCGCAGAAAATTTTCAATATAGGTCTATTTTTTTGGCATGGCCGAAATTTTGGGTAACTTGGAATTTTCCAATTTATGGGTCTATAAATTTCGTTTTCTCAGAGTAATATAGAAACACTCTTCTTGGCAGGACATGGACATACCTTCTCCACGTTTTGACATAACTTAATGTAAAGGTTTCGACGTATTTTCTTTAGGAAAGGAAAGTGTCCAGAACATATTAAATGGAACTGTTGTCCATTTAATATGTTCTGGAAATGTTGGCATAAAGTATATAATTTTACCCCAATTAATCCGCTAAAAATATATTTTAAAATACGCTAAAATGCCACTATCCTTTTTTCAATTTTTTTTTACAGGTTTATGGTGAAGAATTTGGTTTTACATTCGATTCGGATCATCCCAACTTGGAACCCACCGTTATTTCATCATCAAAAGTACACCAGCCGCAACGTCCCCGATCAGCACGTAAAGTATCCGAACAAAGTTCAACACAAACCTCACCGTCGAAACGTAAAGATAGTCTATCGCGTAAAGATCGTATTAGTGATGATCCTGATTTAGAAATGGCTGAAAAGCTAGCTAAAGCTTTCCGGCAAGAACGCGAGAAAAAAGAACAAGAAGAACCACCGATATTGAAATTTATACGCTTCCATATACGAAGTCTGTTCCATTATCCCTTTGCCACGATGCTCAAAGGTGCAGTTGTCTTAACCGAAGAAATGGTAATTGAAGCAATGCCTGCAGCATGGGAACTGCTGCTGGAGACAAATCAAGATACCGCATCGGCAAGTGCTGCAGTTTTCCTAATGGGTTCGGTTAAGGCTCAAAACTATGCCTTTGACATTATGCAGAGGGCGCTGAAGAACAAGGATCCGGATATAAGAATTGGTGCCATACAGAGGTGGGTAGAATGGGAGAGAGAGGTTATGTGATTTTGATCTGTTATTAATTATTTTCAGATATTTAATTTTGTGGAAGAATCGTTTCCATGTGTGGCCTCGCATGGAGGAAAATGCCCATGATGTTACCTTTAAGGTACCTCCCGGTGGCATCGAGTTTACATTACCTTCACCGAAAATTGGTATTGAAAGTTTACCGGTGGTGGATCCTCCATGGATGCCGGTACAACAAACCAAAGATATGGATGTGACTCTGAATCAGGATAGACATGTGGGATATAAAGGTAGAAATGATATATTTACACATACAGGCTTCTTCAATAATTTCCTTAACTTACCTCCTCTCCAGTGACCGCCACGAAAAGTCGCAAAATGCAACAAACCGAAGCCATACGCAACGCCTTGCGTCAGCAGCGTGATAAACAACGGGCCGAACGCCACAGCTTTTTAATTACCACCATACCCGTTAGCCAACAAGCATCCCATGAACCGGGTATGGAACATGAAGATCACGAAGGTGAAGAGGAAATCGATGGCACCCGAATGTCTTCACATTTACATCATTCCCATTCGCTGTTTCCATCGGTTCTCTGTTCGTCTGTAATGCAAATTGTTGGCTGCTTAGATGATGCTGCAATTGGTTCCGATGGTAATGCCGTCTATGAAGTAGCCTATCAGGTTATATGGGTATGCTTGGTTGAAGAATCGGCGCTCTTTTTGCGTTATGTATTTGAGCGTCTAACACGTGATCGTCAGGATCAAATGTTTAAACTACTGAGACACCTGATACGTTTTGTACCACGTCTTCCTCAGCAGGCTGCATTTGCTTTATATAACTCCATTATTGGTTACATTATGTTCTATGTTAGGTCATCCAATGATCTCAAACAAGAGGTAGGTTTCCCAGAGAACCATAATTAATGTAAAGATAATTTAGAAGTTGTTCCTTTCTTCCAGCTTGTTGGTTCGGCTTTATCCATTTTATGGATGGTTGTCCACAGTGTCCACGGCATTATGTTCAAGGATTTGAAACAGATTCTCCGTAAGGAACAATGTGATGCATCGATTCTCTTAACTGCCAATGTACCGGCTGCTAAGAAAATCGTTGTCCACGGCCCAACGGATGATGATTGCAATATACCCTCCCAGTTCCCCGTGCAGGAGGATACACTCTTCTGTCAATTGCTAAAAGAAGCTTTGGACTATTATACAGTGGATGAAAAGAATTTGAACAATTATTGTTTAGTGGACTATAAGAGTAGTAAGTATTATTTCGGAAATATTATTTACCCTCTATGGACCTAGAATGCCAAGTTGTAGAACCATCGGATTGCAAACTATGGCTAAAACCTTCAAAAACATCTAAAAACGTAGGTAAGTTCGACCGGGTCGAACTTTTTACATCCTCCACCATGAGGTGGCCATTCAAAATAACTAACCTCGATCCGGACTTTCTAGAATATATCGAAAATGATGGGTGGCGATTGAAAAAGATGTTTGAAATCCTCGAAATACCGTATATTACGGTTAATCTAATATAGGGCATATACCAAGACATTTGGTATAAAAATAAAATGCTAAATTCCCAATATTAACCAGTAAGGAAAGTAGTAAGGTCGGACGGGGCCGACTATATGATACCCTTTACCACTATGGGTATATTAAACAGGACTATTGAATCAGGAATTGAGTCTACCTAGATCTATCCATAAACATGTCATTCGTTTGTTACAATGGGACAAAAGTATGTAAATCGACTTCAAACAAATATAAATAGGTCATCCGTTGGGCTATATCTGTACTTCTAGAAAACGCAACTACGCAATTCTATGCTCAATTTTGTAAGTTGTGCATAATTTGATGTCAATCTGACTAACATGAGCAGTTTGATGCCCAATTTACTTGAAATCGGACGAAAATATATATGTGAGCTTTATACAAATATTAAGCGATTTCAAACAAACTTGTCACAGGTTAGGTTATACTAATTTCAGAACGTTTTGTTCCTATTGGTTCCTTGGTGCGTCAATTACTTAAAATCAATCTATAATAAAAGGGAGCTATATCTAAATATAGGCCGATTTTCACGAAACAAGGCAGACATCACTCTAGGCTCAATTCAGTATGTTATGCCAAATTTCGTGCAAATCGAAGGATATATAGGGACTTTGGTGCACCATTTACATGAAATCGGACGAAACTATATATGGGAGCTTTATCTAAATCAGGACCGATTTTCTCAAAACTTGGCAGACATCACTCTAGGCTGAATTCAGTACGTTATGCCAAATTTCCTGCAAATCGAAGGATATATAGGGACTTTGGTGCACCATTTACATAAAATCGAACGAAACTATATATGGGAGCTTTATCTAATCAGGACCGATTTTCTCAAAACTTGGCAGACATCACTCTAGGCTGAATTCAGTACGTAATGCCAAATTTCCTGAAAATCGAAGGATGTATAGGGACGTTGGTGCACCATTTACATAAAATCGGACGAAACTATATATGGGAGCTATATCTAAATCAGGACCGATTTTCTGGAAACTTGGCAGACATCACTCTAGGCTCAATTCAGTACGTTATGCCAAATTTACTGCAAATCTATGGATATATAGGGACTTTGGTGCACCATTTACATAAAATCGGACGAAACTATATATGGGACCTATATCTAAATCTGGACCGATTTTCTCGAAACTTGGCAGACATCAATCTAGGCTCAAGTCAGTACGTTATGCCGAATTTCGTGCAAATCGAAAGATATATAAGGGATTTTGGTGCACCATTTACATGAAATCGGGCGAAACTATATATGGGAGCTATATCTAAATCTGGACCGATATTCTTGAAACTTGGCAGACATCACTCTAGTCCTAAATGATTAGGCTGTACCAAATTTCGTGCAAATCGAAAGATATATAGGGACCGTTTACATTAAATCGGTTAAATATATATATGGGAGCTATATCTAAATCTGAACCGATTTTTCCCAATTTCAATAGGGTTCGTCCTAGGGCCAAACAAATGAGTTGTGCCAAATTTCATCCAATTCGGATCATAAATGCGACCTGTACTTTGCTCACAAAAATACATGGACAGACGGACGGACGGACGGACATGCATAAATCGACTTAGAAAGTGACACTATGCATATTCCCGAAAGGAACCATGTGTCTATCTCGTTTCCTTTTTCCTGTTACAAACATATGCACAAAGACATAATACCCTGTACCACAGTGTGGTGAAGGGTATAAAAATACAGCTAGATGGAGAATAAACTAAAACGTGGACCTACTTACTTAGCTGGCTCGAAACCTAGCCTGGCCTAGCCACCGTAGTCGCTGCAGCTCGGTACGTCAATGTCCGTGTATAGATGGTATTCCTTCGATATTCAGCGTCTTCGCAGATCGCTCCGTAGATCTTTCAAAGAATTTGTCGGTCAAACACTTCAAGAGCTGCCTCATCTGCTTCTGACCCATATATAATCTGAATCTCCAAACTGATGTAATTTGTTTTATTTATAGCTGTACCGGTGTAGATGAAATCCCTGACTACCTCAAAGCTGTAGTTTTCAAGTTCCATAATTGGTCCGAGTCTACTGGACGTCTTGCGCGTTGATACCCTCCTCGCCATTTACTACCAGACCCACTTTGGCAGACTCCTTCTCGTAACCTTCCCCTCAATCTTGAACTAACAGTAGGCTTACGTTTATATACCTTTTGAGCTGGGGCATCCTCATCCATTTGCACAACATTGCCATAGCCACCTAAAATAGACGTCATTTCTTTTATTTATGGCTGTACTGAGGTAGCTGAAATCTCTACCTAAAGCTTTAGTTTTCAAGTTAGAAAGGTCCGAGCCTACTGGACGTTTTGCGCGTTTATACCATCCTGAGGTTCCAATTATTGAGCATGCATTCCTGTAGCCAAAGTGTACTAATCAGCTGGTGCATGCTCCTGATCAGCATCTGACCACCGGTCTTGAATAGTTCGGCTGGTAAGCCATCTGCACCAGCTGTTTTATTATTCTGCTATTCTGACCTCATCATGGTTATTGGTTCTGGGGTATTTTCTTCACCGTCACTATTTGATACCAGAAGCTTTGCAAAATGTTCCTTCGAGATCCTCAACCCACTATCGATATCTGCACCACGTTTCCTTCTCCATTCCAATGCTTCAGATCCATATAACAGCACGGGTAGTATCAGCGTCTTGTATAGTGTGAGTTCGGCCCGACCGAACTTAAGGTTTTTTCACTGGTTGATGGGGTTAGACAAGTGGCAAGGCACCGTACCATCAATTCCTGCCCAGTATGAATTGAGGTGACTACACCATCCAGATCGTAGTTCTGCCAAGACCATTCTAACTGCACCCGTCTGATTACAATTGAATCCTGCGTGATAGGTTCCCTTTCGTACCTTTAGACCTCCCTCTCCAGAGCATGAAGATCCTCCCTGAGATGTGTAAGTGGTGGGTTGTTGATCCAATATCTGCATGGTATAGGTAACATGTAGATATTGGATCGACAACATCTGGTTGTGTTAACTCACATGATGGATCTTCGTCACCTCATGTCGTTGGTTTATTGGAGTCATGAGGAGACAACCTTCTGCAGTCCTCAGAGCGGCATTCTGGCAGGATTGCAGACTTCTCCATTAACTCTCCACTAACTCCACTGGAGCCGCATAGTTTATCACAGACCGGCCTAATGCTGTGTATATTTTAAGAAGGTTTCTTTGTCAGCTTCCCAAGTGCTGCCGACTATCGACTTGAGAATCTTGTTCCGGCTCCAGACCGACTATCGACTTGAGAATATTGTTCCTGCTTCTGATGTTTTCGCAAATTGCTATGGCATGTGCGTACGACTTATAAAGGCTATCAAATGTGACCCCTAGAAGCTTAAAGTAATTGGTGGTCGGAATTGTGAACCCGTCGACCTGCACATTCAAAGATACCCGCATATTCGCTGTCCATGTGGTAAACAGTGTGACCGTTTACTTAGTGGCGGATACTTCCATATTCCTGGCTTAGCTATATCCTAGATAGCCGTTCAGCCTCTCGTAAATGTCATCAATTTTCTGTCTTAACGCCATGATCGTACAATCATCAGCATGATCGTAAATAAATGCGGTAGGTTTGGAGAAAGGTTGATGTTAGTTCCGGAGATATCTCCCCTCCTTGGAGAACTCTCTGTTCCTATTTTTGAATTTCACGTACGACTGGCGCCCAACCAAATAATTTACGATATCCAACGTGTCAAACATAGCTGAAGGGTTGTTCGTTCGACGTCCGTGACTGACGATATCAAATGCCTTTAATAGGTCCAGCGCCTGTTGCATGTGTGGAAATGGCGTGGAAAGTTGTTGTGGTGCTGCTTCCGGAATCCGTGTTGATGATCAGCAACTGAGAAGCATTCACGAATGCCAGGGAGTATCAATGCCGCGAAAGTATGATTAAACTTTGCTGGCATCCTCGCCTGCCCATTTTCAAAGACTTCATGAATTATGTATGTGTGTGGTTAACGATAAGTTGAGGGTTGATCTTAAATACTTAACTCCGGGTTGATCCAGCTGCTTAAGCAATACCATGGATGTTCCGTCTGGATTCCAACACTTTGGATGACTCGGCTCTCGAACGTCCTTCATTGTAAATTGTGGTCGTACCTCATCGACTCGCAGTGCCCTTATGCATAGTACGTAGTACACTCCTTTTCGCCCTTTCACTCGCGGGTGCTCAATGAACTGCCAGTATAAATAACACCCGCACCCTTTCGGGTCTACCAAAGTTACGTTATTAAATGTGGCAGCATTCTGTGATCCCTTCTTCCAGAATTCGAAAGAGACTTAACCGTTGCCCACAATTTACTTGTCCCGATGACAATGTTGCATTAGTTTAGATGGTTTTGCCACATTTTCCTTTTGAGCTCGCATACTAGGCTTCAAAGATAAGTTCAGGAGTCGTACGACGGAGCTCATCACGTTCATTGGCCAGTACCGTCGCCTCTACTGGAAAGTTCGGTTATTCGACCAAATTTTTCTTTTTGTACTCACATACTAGAGGTTGGCATCAAGGGTATGTTCAGGGATCGCACAACGGGGCTCATCACGTTCATTGGCCAGTACAGTCGTCTCTACTGAAGTGAGCGGCAGCAGTAGTGATGATTCTACGGAAACATCTCTCAGTTACCCGAGGATCTGAGATATTGTACAGCTCTCTGGCCAGGCCAATCAGCTTTCGGCGTTCAGAGGTAATAAAGTCGAATGATCTATTGACGGAGGCGATTAATTGACAGGTTACGTCATTTATCAGACCCGATGCCACTATGGCGATGTCTGGCGAACCGGTGTAATCTCCTCTTATCCCCATGGGACCAAAATGTTGAGATATAAATTTGCTCAGCCAGCGCTGTACCCTTCTGGTCTTTATCTAAGACGGAATGCCACTCATGGTGGACATTGAAATACCCTAGGTGGTTATTAAAGTCTAAACGCGGACTGATATCCGGTAAATAATGCGGAATACAGCTGTTCATTGGTGGTATATAAAGATGTAGCACGTCTAACTCGGTAGTTCCACATTTGACAGCTACCCCTACACATTCGATGTATGTATGGGTCATTATAACCTAGTTCAAGCTGGATAGGTCTGTACTCGACAACATGCTGTAACAAGAATTCAAGTTCCCTAGTTATTTTTATCTATTTATACACACATAACTGCTACATCTATAAATTTCATATATAGATGACATGAGTCTAGTTTAAGGATGATATGTCTGTATTAAGTAGGGCCACTCCACCACTTCCAGTGCGATTCTTTTTAACAACGTTATAACCATCCAAAACTGTAGGCTACAATTTCCCTATATAATTTCTTTATATGGTAATAATATTTCAAATTTTCTCTCACTCTCACCTTTTCCAGATAAAATACTCAATCCAAATTGGTATATACGTGATTTATACTTCTTCAAGCGCTCCCAATATCCAGAAGTTCGTCTAGTCTTACTGAAACCCGATGAATCATTTTTGGCACTGCAAAAACAAGAACTGACCAAGAAATTTGTAGAAATTGGTAAAGTCCATTTAACCTGGGCAATTTTGAAAAATGTCGATATGGTCGTTCAGCGGGTCGTCTTCCTACACGAAGAACTTATGAAGTTGCCCTCCTTCCCACGTAAAGCTCTCGAAGTTGATTTGGATTTACATCAAAGTGGTGAATATGGCAAAGTGCTGCTGGGTTTAGATGTCCTTCATAAGTTTATGTGGGTACGACTGATTGCTCGTATGTTTGAGGCTATGGCTGGTAATTTTGCCTATTCAGCGGATATTCAATTATTTTTGAATGTGCTGTCGGGCGCAGCATTCCTACATGCTGAGGATTCGTGTATTATGCGTTATGTTATGGCAACGTATATCAATGCGGCCTTTAATTTCAAGAACATCTTTTCGACAAATGGTTATTTTATGATAATGCCGACATTGCTGCAGATCTATTCGCTGCATCAGACAAATAAACTTATTACCACAACGATTGAATATGCTGTCAAACAGTTTTATTTGCTGAATCGTAAACCATTCATATTGCAAATGTTTGGTTCTGTGTCGGCTATTTTGGATACTGACGAGGATGGTTCCTACGGGGATGCTCATAAGGTAAGAATGGGCTCATCTAAATCCTAACAGAATAATAGAATGAGTTTTTTATTTTATAGGTTCAATCCAGTTGTTTGTTTAACCTATTATTAAGTTTGGAGGATCCCTCCCCAGATCCCTTGAATATTGCCGAATTGGTTAAGGAACCTAAACCTTTGAAAGCCATTGATTTTTGTTATCACGATGAAGATGGTGATGTTACCGTGTTGGATTGTATTACATTGTGTGTAATGGTGGTTTCCTATTCTGCAGAAAGCACCCGGGGATATCAGATGTTGGTAAGTATTTCCAGCAAATTACGTTAAATCTGCTTTTATTATCCCATAATTTCTTCTCTACAGATAATTCTGGAAGCCATTTTACCCTGTTATCTGCAACAAATCCAATCGCCCAGTTATATTCCGCTGCAGGGAAAATCCGAACGTGACATCATTCTACAATTGGCAGTGGCCATTCGAACCATGGTCCATAACTGTGAAGGATTGGCCAAGAGCTATAATGGCCCATATCGTAATAGCCCTGAACACAAAGGCTCTTCACAACGTAACTGCAGCCGAGGTCCACCCTGCTCGCCAGGCCTTGATTTTGAAGAAGAATCACATTCGAAATACATTAATGATCCTCGAACCAAAAACATAATCGATTCTGGAGAAGATTCGGAAATGATAAGAACCGAATATCGGCGACCCAGGGATGTCCTGCTCTCAGTGGTGGGTGATTTCCTTAGTAAGGCCACAACACGCCTGCAGGAACTCTCCAAGAAAATGCCCAAGGATGATAATAAATCCAGTGAAGTGTTGGACGCCAAGTGCCATATACGTTTAGCCGACATTGCTCATTCATTGCTCAAGGTATCACCCTATGATCCCGAATCGATGGCCTGTCGCGGGTTGCAACGTTATATGCAAGCTGTACTGCCACGGGCAGAATGGTCCAATGATACACTGCGTAATGCTTTGGTGACAATCCTAAGGAGAATTGATAAGATATTTTTGAAAATCTCCAAGAAACCTTCGATCCGACGCAATACCGATTGGGAGGCTGCCGCTGGTCTACTCAAGGGCATACACGAGACCATTGTACGCCATCCATATGTCCTGCATTGGCAACAAATGAAAACCTTAATAAGCACCGTACAAAATCTCATTGTTAATGAACCCGGTTCCTCGGCTCCGGAAGGTGTATCAAGTGCCGGGGCAGCTCTTATGTCTCAGAATCCACCGGCCTTGTTCTGCTCGACAGTAGTACGTTTGGTGGCCCTACAGGTGGTAAGTCCTGTCGATTGTTTTTCGCTTGTGCAAATATGTGGCGGTAGTGCAGAATTTGCCACCCAGGAGAAGGCCGAAGGATATCTAATGCATTTGATAATGCCCCTGTGCTTGAAAGTCTGTTCCGGACGGGGGGTTTCCGATGTGGGCGAGTTGAAAATGACCGATGTTAGTTATCTGTTAACTGCCGTGCTCAATGCCATGAGTCCACCAGCGGGCCGCACTGGCCAGGCGGTGTCACAAATCAATCGAGTGGGAGGCGATTTGAGAACGGGATCTTTAACATTTACTGGCAGTCGGGATGCCAAAAGGCCGGCAAGAATTGCCGGTTCTTTGTATCAGGCAGCATTTTTGGCCCTGAGAATTGTTTGTATTTGCTTTGAGAGTCGTTTGTCCACGGAATGGCCAAGGATTGTCAGAGTTATGCGGGATTTGGGTCGGCGAAATGAGGCTGCTCCAGATTTATGGAGTTTTTTGGAATTTGTTGTTACCCATCGGACACCACTTTATATTGTCCTGTTGCCGTTTATTTTGCATAAGGTGAGTTCGATAGATTTCAAAACAAGGAGTATTATTTTTATGATGATCTTCGTGGTTACAGATTTCCCAGCCTCCAATTGGTGACCATGAACGACATATGCAGTTTATTATACGAGAAAGATTAAGAGGCACACCTCCCCAGGGTGGCATAAAATCAAAGGGGGCCTTACTCTTAGAATTGGCCAGAGATATGCGGGAGCTAAGAGATGAATTGGAAGATAAACGTTATGGTAAGAAGTCAGATTTCTCCACAATGTATCCCTTTTTTATATAAATTTTAATTTCGAATTACAGATCGTGAGAGTTCCGATCAAAAGAAGAGCGATACCCCAGCAGCCACAAGCGGTACAGATGCACATAATAAATCCCAACAACGACCTTCTTTAATTTCAATTTTCACTGGTACCACTACAGGGCAAGCAACACACTCACATGTCTCGGCAGCACCAATCGATTCTCGCAGCGGTTCGGGTGGCATTTGTACACCCAGTGATACGTTGTCGCAACAAACTCTGCATCCACCACGAGAATCATTATCGAGCAGTTCAACGGGCAAAGAACATCACACAACCAGCGAAAGTCATAGTGGTGGCGGTGCTGATCCAGCAGTTGGTTCAGCCCCAACACTAATTGGTGCTGGCGGTGGTGCATCCGGTTCAGGAGCTGCATCTAGTCAAGGCACAAGTTCGGCCACAATTGCCACAGCTCTGCCATCGGGTGTCACCTCACAGCTGTCTCATTCACAAAGCCTACAACAGGCACCGTTTAAGGCCCAACCACCGAAATTACGTTTTGTATCATCTGTGGAATTTCGTCATTCTTCGGGTGAAACCTCAACCACACCTTTGTCACCGGAAAGTCCAGCTGAAGATAGTTCGGGAGATCATACACGTTCAAGATTGCAAAGAACAAAGGCAGCTAGTCGTAAAACTTTTCGTTTAAAACGTAGCCGCCTAACACCCATGGAACCACCGAGTATTGTAAGTAAAAACACACACCAATCGTAATAAATAAATCAAGCTAATGGATTTCTATACTAGGTTACTGCTTTATCGCAAGAAGAACATCCCAAACCAATTGGAGAAATATCTTGGGATTCGGTGTCACAGACCTCTTCCACATCTGGTTATCGTGATACGAATAGTTTACAAACGGGTTTGCTTTCACCCGACGGCTCATTGGGTGGCTTGACATTGGGACGCTCTCCATCACAGCATTCCCTTTTAATGGTCTATGAGGGACAAGATGAGGATACACTTATATAACAATCACAGTTTGATGGTACGGATGGAGCTGAGGGGCGTCATAATGTTTAGAGTTGTTATTGTTGGATGAGATTGTTTTAGCGTAGCATATTTATTGAGAACAAAAATTGATTGGTTTTGTATTTGGATAATAATATCCCGTGGCTCTAAGTCCTGTACGTTTTTTCAGGACAAAAGAGATTTTTTACACACACAGATAATCTGAAATAAAGTCTTCTGCATAAAATAAATGTCTATCCATATTAAATATAAAATATCAAACATTAAAATTTAAAATACATAAAATCCATAAGAGATATGGACAAAATTCAAGTATTCAATTTAAAATACATTGGCATTTAATGTTGCAAAAATATCTTTTTACTCAAAATTAAATTTTTACTATACAACCAAATAATAAAGTTTTATATATGTATGTTATCAATTGAAATACATATTTCTAATGACTAAGTGGCCAAAAAATATAATCGAAAAGTGTCAAATTAAAATATTTGATTTAATATTTTTTTAGAAATATTTTTTGTATAGTTCGTAAAAGAAATCAATGTTAAATGTTGTTCCAACACTAGGAAATCAGTGATATAGAAACATGTCTATAATAAAGTAATTCCAAATAAAAAAATATTTAAAAAACTAACTTAATTTGTTCTAATTAAATAGTAAAAGAAGGATATGTAAGGTTACGATTAAGAATTAATTTTACTGGCGAGAGCTTTAAGGCGATTTTCCTTGACCATTTTACGCCACTCTAACCATTTTTGCATTTCGGGATTGTCTGTATTGCCTCTTTCCTCCAATTGCATATAATAGGCTTCTCGCAGTATCTTAAATGCTTGTATACTATAATAAGGTTGTTGGGTAACTGGATCAAAGTAACGTGCAGGTAATCTGAAGGAAAATTATAAAAAAAAATTTATTAAATAAAGTATATGATATTAATTTGCTGTACATACTTTGTTATTGGACACAAATATGGTGTATTTCTTTGTAATTTTTTACTCTTGAATATAGTGTGGAAAACTTTCTCGTCCAAGTCATTTTCTAGGGATATAAAAGTTCTCTCACATTTACTTTTTGGATCATTTGGGTCGTGTGGCGCAACGGAGCCACGAGTTTGTTTTCGCACAACCGGCATTGTTACAGAATGATAACGGATCATAGGTCCAGTAAAAATGCGTTTGGTGGGACGTGTCTTCTTTTTCTCCAGTTCCATTTTATGGAATTTTTCTGTAAATAATAGGAAAATACAAAATTTAATGTCATGGTGAAGAATATTTTGATTGAAGGGCTCTCAAATATTGTCAGAGAAATGATACGATAAAGATCATTTGAGCTTGTAGTGGATTTTTTAAATAATATTTTTTCAAGGATCATCAAAATTATAGGCGTGGATTTTTTAAAGAATATTTTTTCAAGGATCATCAGAATTATAGGCGTGGATTTTTTAAAGAATATTTTTTCAAGGATCATCAGAGTTATAGGCGTGGATTTTTTAAAGAATATTTTTCAAAGGATCATCAGAATTATAAGCGTGGATTTTTTAAAGAATATTTTTTCAAGGATCATCAAAATTATAAGCGTGGATTTTTTTAAGAATATTTTTTCAAGGATCATCAAAATTATAAGCGTGGATTTTTTTAAGAATATTTTTTCAAGGATCATCAGAATTATAAGCGTGGATTTTTTAAAGAATATTTTTTCAAGGATCATCAGAATAAAAAGCGAACATTTTCTCAAGGATCATCAAAATTATAAGCGTGGATTTTTTTAAAAAATATTTTTTCAAGGATCATCAAAATTATAAGCGTGGATTTTTTTAAAAAATATTTTTTCAAGGATCATCAAAATTATAAGCGTGGATTTTTTAAAGAATATTTTTCAAGACTATTGAAAAATGTTTAGAACAGTAAGCGTGGATTTTTTTAAAAAATATTTTTTCAAGGATCATCAAAATTATAAGCGTGGATTTTTTAAAGAATATTTTTTCAAGGATCATCAAAATTATAAGCGTGGATTTTTTTAAAAAATATTTTTTCAAGGATCATCAAAATTATAAGCGTGGATTTTTTAAAGAAAAATTTCGTGCAAATCGAAGGATATATAGGGACTTTAGTGCACTAGTTAACTAAAATCGGACGAAAATATATATGGGAGCTATATCTAAATCTGAACCGATTTTTCCCAATTTCAATAGGGTTCGTCCTTGGGCCAAATAAGTGAACTGTGCCAAATTTCATCCAAATCGGATCACAAATGCGACCTGTAATTTGTTAACAAAAATACATGGACGGACGGACAGACGGACATGCATAAATCGACTTAAAAAGTGATTCTATGCATATTCTTAAAAGGAACCATATGTCTATCTCGTTTCCTTTTGCCTGTTACAAACATATGCACAAAGACATAATACCCTGTACCACAGTATGGTGAAGGGTATAAAAATAAGGAAGATCTTCAACGAATGGTTTTATCTTAGTTCATACGATAGCTATACATTCACAGAGAAACGTGTAAAAATTAGGAATTGATTGGGTTATTAGTTTTTGAGTTATCGTGCCCGCCAATCGTAAAACCAATGTTTGGACAAAAACGCGTTTAAAGTTTGAAAGCCCTTTAGCCGTCACTTTATGCTGACACAATAAATCTGCTATATCTTCAAGAGTTCTTCAGATTTTCACTTGAAATTTTGTAGGTACATTCTTGAATTAGTGTAGATTCGAAGTAAATCAAAAAATCTTTGACACCGAGAATTGGGGGGTCCCCTTAAAGAATATTTTTTCAAGGATCATCGCATCATCAAGGATGCGAGTATTTTCTCATTCAGAATTATAAGCGTTGCTTAGATCAATTATTGTATACTTTTTGTGGATAAACAGAGTTATTAGCATTAAACAATGTAAAGACTGGTTTTACATTTATGGTCTATCAATTTATAAGAATTTTTTTTAAATTGATACCCATATTGCATTAGAGAAATGCAAGGGTCCCAGCGAAAATTTTGAGACCTAAATCTTTGAAGTATGGATTTCCACAAGTAAAAATTTAAAATACATCGTTGTAATGAAGCCCTTAGACTATCTGTTGTAAAAAACTCAAACTTATTGACAACCAAACCCTCATATTGTCCTCGAATTACACTTACCCAACGATTTGAGATTTTCTTCTTCGGTTATTTTAGCCTCCTCTAACAACTCCTCCTGCGTAGGCATATACTCCTCCACACGTACAACCTTCTTCTTTTTCTTACGGGCATCATCCATTTCCTTTAGACGTATTTTGGTGGCCTGTGTTTTTATGGCCGTTGACATACGTATGGATTTTCTGCCCGAGTCAAGAACTGTGAATTTGGCGCGGGTTTTACGTTTAACAACTTTTGTGAGTTTCTTCTTTACAGCTGCTGATTTCTCCTCTTTCTTTGTGGGTTTGGCAGGTTCCTGGAACAAATAAAAACCACTTCAATAATACAATTCAGAGTGTGTATCATAAGGACATACCTTATAAGCTTTAGTGTTAATACCGGTACGTTTACGTTTCTTTCCCTCTTCCTCGTCGTGATCGGAAACGGGTTCATCGTTTTCATCAATACTAAAATCGGAATCAACGACATCTTCCTCTTCATCTTTTTGCCTGAAATGGAATACTTGGTGATTACATTCGACTTCTCCTTTCCTCAGTAATCCAACTTACACATATTCCTTGTCCTCTTCCTCCTCTTGGAAACCACCATATGATGTCTTATAGAATTCATCCTCTTCTTCTTCATTCAACAGTTTTGCTATTCTATTACCGGCATTGGATCTTCGTGAACGCGTTGCAGCCATTATTTACAATTTAATTGTTTAAATATATTTTATATATTACTATTTTGTTTGCAAAATAAGTTTTTTCAACTCGATTTGTGTTGTTTGGGGCCAAATTTGTGCAATTGAACTATTCACTGAATGGAATTGTGTGAACTAGTAGAAAATACGTTCGTTCGTTTGTTCAACTTGACAAGAAAGAGTTTGATTGACATTATGCAACTTTTCTTACAGTAATTTGGACAAAAAAAGCGTGTTTATAAAAATTTCGACAAAATCAAGATATTGAGGGGATTTAATTTTTTTAAGGTAAATTCAGCTCAATGAACATAATTATTGTGACAGCATGATTGTTAGAAAATCCAATGGCTGTTATATTGGCAAAATCCGGAAGATCTGCTACGAGAATAAAAGTATTATATGATTTGAGAAGTAGAACCTAAAAATCGCCCTGACTAGACATTTAACGACGTAGATTTTCACCATTCTTGTCAATGTGGAAGGAAGAGCTTAAACTTATTGTCATGTCAAACTTATATGTCATTATTACAGTCTATGCGACTACGATTTTTAGGATGGTCACAATGGACGATACTTCTCCGAGTGGAGCGGTTGCTTTTTTACAGGCGCGCATACTGTAACCTAACCTAGGGGAGTTGCCAATATCCTACCAATATCCTAACCTAACCTAGGGGAGTTGCAATATCCTGTACAGGATGGAGTTGACCTGGGTCAAACTAGGCCGGATCTGCACTTCGAGGAAACCTTGGGGATCTTCGGATCCCCCGTGGACCAAAATGGATCGGGGTAGTGCCCTTAAAATAATCAAAAGAGTAGAAGAAATAAAGCTACGGTGCAGGTAGCTAACAACCCCGCAATCGTTGGTAAGACCACAAGCCACGTGTCGTCGAGATTAAGTGATTGTGATCTGGCTGTTCTAGGTGTGGCACCTACACCTGTATCTGCTACGATGCTTCCGAAACTACGGTGATTCCGGTCAAGTCTACACAGGAGGATTGCTTTAGAATTAACGAAGGAAGTGTAGACCCTGTTGACCGACCGAATTCAAGTCTAACTCCAACAGGTCCTGTGTCGGCAAATGGCGACAATAAGCTTCAAAGGCAGACTGTGACTGAAGCGCTGTCAGACGATGGGAAATCTATCGATACCCCAGCAACGGAAAACGATTCAAACGTCGGAAAGGCACGATGCGATGCGAAGCACTACAAACGTGCCGTATCGTATCTTCGCAAGTTCGGACAGGGAGGTCCATCTCATCAAGGGCAAGACGAGATTCGAATGAACTTTCCCGCACGCTCTTCATTGTGAGCTCGAGATGGAGGAAATCTCCCTCCCGAAACATGATCGACGTGTGAAGGGCTCTGTCTCTAAGACCGATTCTACGCCAACTGACAAAGGTGAAGTTCTGGATGAAGTTCAAGGATGACACCTATAGTTGCAAATAATATTTACGGGGTCAGATGAACTAAAACAAATAAGCTCTATTATTTTGAAGCACGATATTTCTAGAATTTTGAAGTTTCTCCAAAAACATTCCTTATTCAAATACAACATATAAACATAGCACAACAAAACAGCTGATAGGGGGGCACTACCCTGTGGCATATTTGTGATTGGCAACACTAATCATATTTGACAGTCCAGCTGACGTTAACAAATAGTCTTGTGTACCCAAACAATACAAGAACAGGCATGTGAATTTTATTAGCAAATCGCAGTATTTTTTGGCAATAATTTCTTCGTATTGTAACAAAAATTGAAAGAAAACATAAACGAACTGATAAATTTGCAATATTGGTGTGATTAATACAACGAAAAAAATTCTTGCAGCTGTCGATAACAACAAATTAAACCACTTGTGATAACAACAATGATAATAAGAGGCGCATACAAAAATATCCGGTTGAATTTTTGGCAATAAATTATTTATTTCTTTGTTTGTTGACTGATAAAAGTAAAACAAATTGTGCAAATAAGATTTCCAATGAAAATCTGTTGACGTGACAAATGCTAAAATAAATATTCAAAGACGTAGATATTTCCCGTGGCTGCTAAACACTATTTTCACACAATTCTCTGGTTGTAAGGAAGGAGGAAGGAAAAGCGACGAGGCATAACAAACCACCAACCAACCAAATTACACAAACAACAAAAATGAGCTCATACAAGGTAAGAAGGGAATTATTGTGTACATAATATATGTATGTGTGTATGTTAATCAATGAATGAATCAAAAAATATGATCCATATGTTAACTATATCACACAGAAGACGAAAAGAAGACACAGTTCTATTATTGATTCTGTAGATTATTTAGACCGGTCTTTCTTCCGCTGTTGCTGCTTACCTCATACCATAGGGAATTTATGCCTTTTGGCTTTATAAATATGTATAATATCTACAATGAAGAATTTCTTTTTGCTATCTTTTATAATTTGCAGAAAGAAATTTAAGCATACAGGTTGTTTTGTTATTGGGAAGCTTTAGAAGTTTCTAATACATTTCATTCTTAAGATTTGAAATTTTACGGGAAATACCCATTCAGTTTATTCACAAAAACGAAATTTTATTCATTGTGAAATTATATCGAACCCCGGCATTTTGATCCTTTCGGATCACTCCTTATAACACACCACCCAGAAATGTTCAAAATTTTCATAAATTATACCTTATATAAGAATCGAACGGTACATCCAAGTTCATTCAAAATTTTACCAAACCTAAAAAGAGTGCGATCAACCGTTTCACCTCTATTTGTACGTCCACCCAAAATTTTGAAAATTGATTAATCGAATTGATTCATGTTGTCCACATTGTAATATGTTTACCGAAACTAAAGTCCGAAGGTTGAATCCATATGACCCCACAAAGGTTTACATTTTAGAAGCTTGTAAACTTCATGGGAAGTGTACGGACAACTCGTTCTGATCTTTTTAATACGAAGATGGGGTCTAAAGGGCGACTTCTCCTCATAAATCCCCCAAAGACTCTCAGAGTGTTGAAAATAAAAAAAAAATTGTTCACTAAATAGTGATTTTGACTTCCCCAGTCAGTGATTCCGACTTGTTTTTAAACAATAAAAAGTTTATGTTTTTTCATAAAATGGGGGTTGGAATTACTTCATATGAATTCGTTCGTTTTGGAAGATGCTGTATGCTTCTCTCACAAGATAATTTTGAACCCCTAAGTAATTGCGTCATCGTAATGTTAAACAATAATATTTGGCCTACTTGAAGACGAGTCTGCGCAAAATATTGCGGTAATTGTACTATACTTTTGCAATATTTGCAAAATGTTGGTAATGGTACGAACATTGCTATATAGAAATATAAATCCACGTTTTTTGGCATCTAGATATAGGTCAGATATTCCATTCCATATTCATGCGGAATATGTCTCTTGGGAGTTACGATATACTTCTTGAATGAAAATGTTGAATAAATAGTATTCTATCATTAATGATACTTTTTGAATAAGAACATATTCCTGTAGATTTATAAGAATGAATAATAACAGATTTTGACACTTAATCAACCTCAGCCCTCAAACTACCGAAAATTGGGAGTGGCGTTATATGGAAGCTACACCAAAACGTAGACCAATATTGTTAACTGTTTAAGAAGTTTTTGTCACCGTGTCCAATTTCTTAAAAAAAAAACAATATTGGGGATTTAATGTTAAAGGTGGGCTTTGAAGGTAGCCCACTGAGATCCCTAACTATTAAATCATAGACAATTCGTTTGATACACATTCCCAATTTACGGAATTAGCGTAATAATTTACACTGAAACGTTGGTAAATTTTTGTAAGTGAAATTTTCTACTCAATGAGAACCAAAAAAAATGTGTCCAATTTCTTGGACCAATATCGATAATTTTTAATTAGAAGATTTGATAGCCGAAAAATATGCATGCCTAATATCCCCAAATATTGGAGATACTGTTATATGAGAGGACTCTAATAACACTGAGGGAGATTTTCAGGGTCTGTCTAAGGTTATCATTCATGGAGAGAAGTTTACCTCAATTCCCAAAGCGTTGAAACCTAGTCCCACTTTACCGAAATACTACAAACCAAATAGCCCTTCTTCTTTTCTCATGAAAACAATGGAAAATTTATTAGACCTGGAGATCAGGAAAGCACCGGACCTAAATAAAATCAGCAAATATCAGCACGCATTCATCAAAGGCAAGTCTGTAGACTGTTGCTTTACATAAAGTAGTGGGGGCCATCTATCCACTCAGTTCTCATTACAACGGGAATATCCTCTACCATGTTGGATGGGATTAATGTTATGCTCCAAAGCAGAATAATCAATGCAAATATTGGAGATAGTTCCATAAGTAGGTTTGTCAACAGAGACACTCCACAAGACAGGGTGCTATCACCCTTGCTTTACCTTCTTGTGATAAACGAGATTCTTGTAAACTTTGACCAATATGAAATACATCGGCACCATCCTAGACCACCGTTTATCATGGAAAAGGTAGGTAGAGGAGCGTACAAAAAAGGGTTTAATAGCAATGTACTCTTGCATTAGCTCAATAGGGAAGAGCTGGGGACTGTCATCGCTCAGCGTACACTGGATTTACGATGCAGTTTTCCTTCACATTCTTACTTATGGATGTCTTGTGTAGTGGAAGGCACTAAGAATTAGTAGTGTGCAAAGATCGGCAGCAATCCTTATACTGCTTTGAATGCGATAATAAATATTCAGCCACTTGATTTATAACTCGGCAACCACAACCACATTTAGGATGAATGACATAGGGATATGGCGAACTTCTCACTATGGACACGCAAATGCCCTAAACTTGACAGGAGATTATGAACTGACATTAGAAATTCAAGTGTCTATATGTCCCCATAACTTAATATTGAGGAATTTAAAATAACAATTCCAAGCAGAGAGTCCTTTGCGAGTGAGCTTCCTCCTCTTGGCGGCAGTCAATATAAACATACGGTTCAAAAATGGAAGAAGATACAGGTGTCGAGTTTTCTGTGAATAACTTTCAAATAAAAACTAATACAATCTAAATAATAATTATAGCGTTTTTCAAGCAGAGAATCTAACGTACCAATTAACAGTTAATTCGGTAGGAAAACATGACTTTACTCCCCAAAATGCGGAGGTATTGCTATATGGGGGCTATGGTAAGTTGTGAACCAATATTGATGTTGGTAGGATGATGTTTTATTCACAGATAACCCAAAAAACCAAGTTACAGCCATTTCGGCATAAAAACGTGCCAAAAATACCGAATATTAATAGGAATAATAGCAATGTATGTGCAAAATTTCAAACCTATATCTTATGTAGTGGGAGCTCTATCGTGATGTCAACAGTCAGACGGATGGATATGCATAAATCGGCATTTTATACTTTATAGGGTCTCCGATATGAAAACATTTTCGGAACATTTGTGTAAAGTTGTATGGCAGGTCATTGCCGGACCCAAACTACCTTTATTTATAAATTTAAGTAACACCACTGCCGGTATAATTCATGTTTCAGTAGTGACCCACCAATATCCCAAAATTCTAAGGAATCAATCCCCATTAATGGGCAATATGACAATGAGTTAAAACTAGAAAAGTAACACCTCCTTGTAAATTTAAAATTTTCTTCTAATATTTTTTCTATTAATTTTTTTCCAGGGTACAGCAGTGCGTCTATTAAAATGCTTTTGTGGCTGTCAAGATATGACCGTCGAAGAAGTTCAACGAATATATTATCTCACCCTCCAGGCAACGTTGATCGATCGACCAGCTTTGAAATTATTTAAAAGTTACTTAGAAAGAAATCGTCGTGGTGATAAATCACTGGCCGAACAATATATTGAAGTCTATGAATTGTGCGGGGAATATATGAAACCACATGTTGGCGTCATTACCCTCGATGAATTGGATGAATTAGTTGATCTTGGATTGCCGCGTGATTTAGAAAAAGAATTAACAGAACAAATAAAAACTGGTGATGGTCATAAAATAACACGATGCCTATTGCGAGTACAGGGGACACTACGAAATGCCATCGAAGAGAGTGAAGAATACAAAGGATATCGAGATGCTTTGGCCGAGAAATTAAATTTACTATGAAAAGTGAAATGAAGAGTAGAGATTTTCACAAATTCTGGGTGCTACTCAGGAGGAACTGACGTTTTTTTACCATAAGTGCTTTCAACACCAAATGACAATGAAACATTTTTTTATATATGCGGATAAATAAAACTGCCCCCGTTTTTTTTTCAATTCACCATCGAAACTACGTGAGCGATTAATGCACCAAATACCGATAAATACCATCACAAACATAAAAGAGCTTTTTTTACATTTCATTATTAAATATACATATTTATACTTTTTATATATCCCTCCAATTAAATTTATTTTATTATGTTTATAACATAATTTATTATCATTATTATTTTTTATTGTATATTTACAAAAACAAATACTTTCTTGATATTTGACCATATCAAGGAGAGTTGTGAATTCCTTAGAAATTGAAACTGTAGTTACTTAATTAGACAGCTTTTTATTATTATTTTCACGTTCTTCCGGTAAGAACAACATGATTATATGATAATACACCCTTTGTACTTTTATTTAGCTTTATCAGTTGTTAAGTAGTTTATTTTTATTTTCAATTTAATATAAGGAACAATTTTAATAAATAAAATAATTGAAAAAAATATATATTTGTGTACCAAAAATTAATTAATATTGTAGATTTTTTCGGAAGGATGTACATAAATTCAAGACAAAGAGTGCATTTTATACATTTCCACTACTTTTCAAAAATCCTCTCGATTATTTAAATAATATTTTTTGAAAAGCTTTTCGAGCTACAAGAGTAGATTTTTAAAAAATATTTTTTAAAAGGATTTCAAGAACTTAAAGCGGTGGCATTTTACAAAATAAATTTCACAGACTAGCACAGTTATAAGCGTGCATTTTTATACCTCCCATCTCCAAACAAAAAGGGCTGCATTCTGGATTCTTTGGAGGGTAAAAAATCATTGCAGAAAATCTTTAATATAGGTTCATGTTTTGATCTGGCACCCATATATAGATCTAGTCCCCAGTTTTTGTATTTTGAAGGTTGAATTTTGAGTTTTTTCCATCGAAATGACTGTTGTTTGGCATTCCGAGTTCTTAGAAGGGTGGAAAACCTCTTTGCAAAATGTTCGACATATCCTTTATATAAAAGAGTTCCGCCCTATATTCGATATTTTGAAGGTTTTTGCCGCATTCTACCATCGTAGAGCCTGCAATTTTCCATTCCACGTTATCAGAGGGTAAAAACTTTGCAAAAAATATTCGACAAAGTCTCCATATAAAAGTCTCGCACCATTTTCGGTATTTTGGTGGATTTTTGTCGCGTTTTCTCGACGAAGTGTCTGCAATATGGCACTGCGGATATTTTCAAAAAATTGTCGATATAGGCCTATATTTTTACACAGCCTCCATATAAAGGTCCCGACCGATTTGAAGGGATTATCCGCCATTTCCTATTGTTGCGGCTGTCATTCGGCATCCTGTGTTCTTGGATGCTCAAAGCGTCTAATGTTTAGACATAGGCCTCATATTAAGACCCCGGCCTATTTTGGTTTATTTTAAGGTTTTATCCGCCTTTCCCCAACAAGGTGGCTGTATTTTCCCAGCAAGGTGGCTGTATTTGCAAATAATTTTGATATAATTCCATTTTTTTCGTCCCACCGATTTGTATTTTTAAGGTTTTGGCATTCTGGGTTTTTGGGAGGGCAGAAATATATTTGCAGAACATTTTCGATATAGGACTATCTTATGACGTAGACCCCATTTAAAGTCCCAACCTTTTTGGGTTTAAAAGGTTCCCGAAGCATTTTTTTCCGAAGTGACTTTGAGTTGGTATGCCGGGTTCTTATTTTTGTATTTAAGGTTTCCGCCTCATTTTGCCATCGAAGTGTGTAACATTTCTTGAAGTGCAAAAAACACCTTTGCAAACATTCTATATAGGACCATATTTTGACATAGGCCTCATATGAAGGCCTCTACCAATTTTCGGTATTTTCGAATTTTCCCATCGAAGTGGTTATATTTTCGCATTCTGGATTCTTGGAGTTTTAAACCATCTATTGAAAAGTTGAAGGTTTCAGAAGTGGGTTTTGGAGGGTGAAAATATATTCGATATAGCACTATGTTTTGATGTAGTCCCCATTTTAAGTCCTGACCTTTTTTGGTTTTGAAAGGTTCCGCCGCAATTTTCAAAAAACCCTTTTCAAAAATTCAACATAGGACCCTATTTTTACATAGTACCAATTTTCAGTATTTTCGAATTACCCCATCGAAGTGGTTATATTTTCTCATTATGGGTTCTTGGAGTTTTAAAGGTATTTGAAGGTTTCAGAAGTGGTTTTTGGAGGTTGAAAATATATTTGCAGAATATTTTCGATATAGGACTATGTCCCGAACTTTTTTGGTTTTGAAAGATTTCTGTCGCATTTTCCTACCGATGTGACTGTCGGTATGCCGGGTTCATAGAAGAAGGTGACAAAATAAAACAATTTCGATATGGGTTCATGTGTTTACATAAAGGTCCCGGCACATTTGAAGCGATTTTTCCATGAAGCGGCTGACATTCGGCATCCTGTGTTGTATTTATATTTCGAAGGTTTCCGCCTCATTTTGCCATCGAAGTGGGTAATATTTTTCATCGCGAGTTCTTGAGGTACGTAAAATACCTTTGTAAAAAAATTGATATAGGTCCATATTATCTCATCGAAGTTGTTATATTTTTGCAGTCTGGTCTTGAAGTTGGAAATTTTCGATATGGGTCCATGTTTTGACAAGGTCCCGACCCATTTTCAATATTTTTGCCGCTGTTTTTTTGAAGGGTACAAAATATATTTACCGAACATTTTCGATATAGGACTATGTAATTATGATTTCGATATAGGACTATGTCTGTAATTATGATTTCGATATAGGACTATGTCTGTAATTATGATTCGGCATCCCAGTTTCTTACAGAGTGTAAAACAGGACATTTTCGATATGGGTCCATATTTTTACACAATGTTTTAGGCGAATTCTTCTATCGAAATGTCTTTAGTATAGCACTCAGGGTTCTTGAAGGGTGAAAAACATATTAGAATAACATTTTCGATATAGGTCCTAGTTTTAAATAGTCACCAACTCTCTCTTAACCTGTCTGTAACTTGGTATTTAAGTGCCCCAGAGCACGTAAAAATGTTCGACACGGCCGAGCTTAACGAACTTTTTTATTTGTTTGGAGATTAAAAATGTTGATTTGTTAAAGAATATTTTTCAAGGTCAATCAAATATAAATGTGGATTTTTAGGAAACCCCTCAAAATTATTAAAAATCTATTACAACATCTTTTTAATTCTACAATATCTGTTTTACTTTATTTGTTTATATATGTCTGTATATATTATTAAGTGATGGATCGTAATGATAATAAACATTAAAAGCAATTATATATATTATATATCTTTCTGTGTGAGTACGTAATATTTTCCTTTTTGTTTCATAAATACATTTATATTTTTACTTGATTAAAACTAAAAATTAAATAGGCTAAAAGTATATCTAAAATAAACGGAGAGGGCCACACAACTATATATCATCTATACAGATCAGTTTGTAAGCAGCAAAGCAATTCTCCTTCTGCTTCTCCTACTGCTGCTACTGTCTATTAGTTGTCATTTTCTGGAATGGCCTTCCAGAAGGTAACAGCCATTTTTAAGATTTCTTCCATGAATAGAACATTTCCATGGGTTTGTTTACCTTCCAGAATTTCTCATTGACCTGATGCAGCGTTTGATTGCCATTCAATATGACCAATTGCGAGGGCTGTGGTGCAATGTAAATACATAAATTAAGCATACGATTTGCTTCGGGTAATTCGGAATCCAAATCGAGGGTCATACGTAATGCCAAGTACTTGCTTAAATGATCGACCGTGGCATTTGCTGTGGTCTTAATGTAACGTATACAATTCTCTTTAAGGGCCTTCATCAGCTGATTATCGGCAGCCATTTCTGTGGGATGGGGTTTAAAGACCAATTCTATTTCATCGTTTATACCCAATTCCCCATTACCCTCACCTTCGGTATCGATATTGGAATCTCCTTCGGTACGACAATCCATTTGTGAATCGGATTCAGATTCTTCAGAACGTTCGGAGGTCAAAACTGACATTGCCCGTTTGGGTTTTGAACTGCTTGAATTCGAGGGAACTGGGGAGGGTGTAGAACGTACTGAGGGTGGATTGGAGCCACCATCATCCATGCGTGTTGTGGAGGTGCTGGCCCCTTGATTTGCCATGCCTGTTGATGATGTTGCCACAATGTTGTTGGCGACTGTGGATGGCGTTGTAGAATGTGTGGGTGGTGGTGGAGTAGCTGCCCGTGCTGCAACATTTGCCGGTCCAGTGGAATTTTCTCGATTACTATCGCTTTCGTTGCCATTTGTATTGCTCTCGTTAGAAACATTGTGTGCATGTGATGAATTGTGATTTGTGCCATTTGCTTGGGAACCACGGCCACCACCACTGCCTTTGGTGCGGAAACGCTGTGGTCGATTTTGACTTTGTAATTTAATGCCTTCGTTAATGGAATTGACCAATGCCTGTTGTGATTGAGTTTGATTGAATTTAGCCATAACCTTCTCCTGTATAGCCTCATATTCCTCGCGACTGGGATAGATTTTCGATATCAACAAATCAAAATTAGGATCTGGCCGCAAAGAACGTTTTGACACCAATTTCTTACGGCATGTTGGACACTCTTTGTTACCCGAACGCAATGCAGTAATAATACAATCTTGACAGAAACGATGTAAACACTCTTTGGTGGTCATTGTCTTCTTCAGCATATCTAAACAGATGGGACACATTAGCTCGCTGTGTAAACTCCTTGGGGATACGGCAATTTCAGTGTTGTCTGTAATTATTTCCTGAGGTTTGCGTTGTAGTTCATACAACGACAAATCCCAGGTTTTATTTTGAGCTGGTTCCAATGAAGCCATTGCACTCAGTTGTTGTTTGTATGTGTTCGTAATTTAGTGTTCACTCCAATATTTTGGTTTATTTGTGAATAATTTGTTTAAATATTTAGAAATTTCTATTATTTTCGTTTTTTAATGGAGAAAATATTAACAATTGCTCGCTTGCGCTAAGGGATCTACAGCTCGACTTTTGATTTATCGATAAACGATTATTTAGAGTAAGTGAAGGCAAAGGCGGTGTGTGTTTATAGTAACGGCGATGGGATAAATGTGTAGCTCAGTCATAGTGAAGAAAATTTTATATATAAGAATTTTTGGTTTAGAATATTAAAGTTGATTCTGGTTTATTTTTCTCTGTTATAGAATCTGCAAGAGTCTTAATGTTTTACCATTGGTTTACAAGAACATACTAATTATTAAATCAAAGGATTGAGATGTGGACGGGAGGTGTGTTCAATATACAGTCGATTCTAGCGGGGTCACAAACCATTTGGTATATATTTTCTTTTTGAAATAAAACCAGTATTTATAATGAATTTAATACGGATATTTCATGAAGTAAATCATTGTTCATGTTTGGGGGTCTGTACAGAGTGGTGGAGTAAGAATTTAAGTCCCCTACTATCCTCCCACATATGGTATGTTTTTCTTCCTATGATATCGAAGAAAATAGTAAAATATAGTAGATTCTTGGAGTACGGGAACATACCAATAATTGGTCTGTTCCAGCAAGAATGTACAATTTTTTACTACGATAACAAATTTTCCTTTATGATATCGAAGAAAATAGTAAAAATTATTAGATTCTTGCAGTAAGGGAACATACCAAATGTCGTAGTCATCGGACAAATTTAAGTTTTTTTTTTCTGTTGAAGAGACTGCGTTATGTCATAATTCAACGACGACAAGGATACACTGTGTGTTGTGCTGGTTCAGTTCTGACAAACACTACAGAACCTATGCCGGATTTCTTTCTATCACAACACGTGCAAAATAAATTTCATCTTTTCGCCTCGGATCAATGGATCCGAACAAATTGCTAATTGTATTAAAATTTTCATTCGGATGGAGATTTTGTGAAGACCATTGCATAAATCGTTGGTCTTGGATATCCATTCTGCTTAAAATTACTTCTACAAAACACTCAAATTGTATCTTCATCTACGATTCCTTCGCAGTATTTCACATGATTCTCTATTCTTACAAACAAAACAAAATTTCCACATACCAATTAAAATAATATAGGGTATTCAATTTATCTATTTATTCTAAATAAACATTCCAAATATATGCCAGGAGGTTATTATATCTGTACCATTCGTAAATTCATCATCTTAACATCCATCACAAACATCAAAATACGTTTAGCATAGATTCGCATTTGTCGGTTCGCTAATTGGTGAAAATATTTCAACTGCCGACACGCGAATTTTCAATCACAATTGAATTTACTGATGTGCAATTTTTCGAAGGAATCAGGTATAACAACTAGTGATAGCCAGAAAATGGTACTGTCCGTAAATCTGCAAACGTCGTGGAGACGAAATGGATTAGCACTTCTCTTCCAACAACAACGAAGAAGAAAAAACAAATACAATATGTTAATTGATTTGGCCATCAACTCTGTTCGTGAATTGAAAGTTTTATTTAACAGCCATCTTGAACAGGTTTTCTTTGTAACAAAGGCCAAGGCCTTTGACTATGTCTGGAAATATGGCATATTCTACAAGATGCAGTGGGGGCAAAATTTTCCTAGAAGAATAACTTCCGAAAAAATGTTGGAAATACAATGACGGAAAAGGGACCGGTCAGGGTCGGAATTACACAAGGATCATTTCAGGGACGACATGCTGCCGATGGCCAGCTTAAGAAAAACATAGATTCAATTTTTAGAATTATCGGATCAATCTGATTAATGTCAAGCATGAATTTCGATACTGCAAACAGGCATTCCAGAATGCCTGTTTCGAAAACCTTTAGTCCGTACGAGGATTGAAATAAATCCCGAAGTACTACGATAGTTGTTATGTTGCTAGATGATGCACCATTATATATCCCAGTACATTTTTGGCATCATCATCGATCAACGGTTCCTGGATTAACCCGATGTGTGAGCCATTGGATTCAATAAATTCCACTCCAATAAACTATCTTCTTGGGAGTTGGTCATCTTCTCTTCGGCTTTTGCTGCTTCCTCTCAAATCCTTGCCTTTCTAATCTTGAAGTAGACAACGTTGGACACATAGTGCGCCATAGTCTTGGCTAGACTTGCCAATGTAGATCTGTCCAAATCTTCTTCGACATCCTCCTCTTGAAAGACCAAGCTATATTTTGTTCCGAGCATGCGTCTTAAACTTGCTGTCCCAACCTTCGACGAAGAATGTTGCATTTTGTAGTTGAGAAACGTTTCTTTTCATAATCTGCTTAAGTTTGACTATTTTTATTTATGAAGATAAAGTTAACCACCAGCTATCTCCGGACTTCTAAGTTTTTAAGGCCTTCAATTGTACTTACATAGCTGGCTTGTGACAGAACATTTGTTCCATAAGCCGATCTTAAAAAATTTTCCAGGCGCGTCGGTCATGTGTGCAGTTTCCCTTGTGCGCCATGTTTTGATATGTTATCTTTCCATCGAAATCGTGGCCTTTCCCTTCCGCGTCAGTTGGCTGGTGACTTTTGAACTGGGGGATTCTCATTCATTTGCACAACATGACCTAGCCACCGCTGTCGCTGCAGCTTGATACTTCGATGTTCGTGTATAGATGGTATCACTCGTGGTTCATTCGACGGCGATGTTCACCATAGACGCATATCTGCCGGTAGATCTTTCGGAAAATTTGTCTCTCAAATACTCAAAGAGCTGCCTCATCAGCTTGCACATGTAGTAGTATCAGCTAGTTTGGTCTGGTGAGAGGTGGCCTTGTTCCTAAATTGCTTACTCAGTAGCACCTCTCCTTCTCCGAATTTCAAATCTGATGTCATTAGTTTTATTAATGAAGCTCCACATTTGGTCCGAGTTTACTGGACGTCTTGCGCATTGACACCATCAGCTTGGTCTTCTCGCCATTTACTTTCAGCCCCACTTTGGCAGACTCCTTCTCAATTTGTTCAAAGGTGTCTGTTACCGCTCGCAATGTTCGACCCATTATGTCGATATCATCGGCGTAGGCGAGTAACATGTGCTGTTCGATGTACAGAGTGCCATTTCTGTTCACCTTTGCATCTCGTATGACCTTTTCCAACAGGATGTTAAAAAGGTTGCACGACAAACTGCATCGAACCTGCTTGAATCCTCGTTCGCTATTGAAGGGCTCCATGAGTTCCTTTCCGACTTTAACTGCTGACCTTGTGTCAGTTAAAGTTATCCTGCATAGCCGTTTTAATTTTGGAGTGATGCCGAACGCTGACATGATTTTAAACACCTTCGAGCGGATTGGTCTGTGGAAGGCAGCTTTATAGTCGACGAATAGGTGGAATGTGTCGATGTGTTTTTCGTGGCTCTTTTGCAGGATCTGGCGCAGAGTGAAATTCTGGACAATGGCGCATTTGCCAGGTCTGAAGCTGCATTGGTAAGGTCCGATAATATCATTGACCCTTCAGTCGTTCACACAGCACGCTGGATAACACTTTATATGCGATGGGAAGGAGACTAATTCATCTATAGTTGCCACATATCGTCTTGTCTCCTTTTTTGTGCACACACACAGGATGCTGAGGTTCCGATCATTGAGCATGCATTCCACTAACCAAATTGTACTAATCAGCCGGTGCATGATCCTGATCAGCTTTTGACCACCGGTCTTGAATAGTTTGTCTGGTAATTCATAGCCACCTTCTGTTTTATTATTCTTCAACCGATTAATTGCTATGACCTCATGTTGGCTAGGTGGTATACAATATATAATCGTCATATTTTATTGGTTTCGGGTTATCTCTTCACCGCTACTATTTGATACCAGAAGCTTTGAAAAATGCATCTTCCAGATTCTCAACACGCTATCTAAATGAAGAAACACATATGAGGACTTCAGGATTGGCATGTTAAGTTGAATTCTTTTGTTGTAAAAGACTAAAGGTGAACAGCGTCCAAATTCAAGTTGGACTCTGATATTCCTTTATAAATTGACATTTTCATACAAAGCCAACATAACATGCCAGGTATGAATCCTCGTATGTGTTTCCCTATTTAAATCTATCACCATGTTTCCTTCTTCATCTCTACAGGAGGATGTGCCTGCACCAAAGCCTTAGTTTTGGTGTTTTATTCGTGGGTAAACTTTTCGGACGTTAATCTTGAATCCTGTAATTTTGATTTGCTCACGCTCACGTTTTTCCTGTTATTTTTTCTTTTTGAAACTAGCTTTTTCTTCTCCCCTTTTCTCCCGATAATTCTCCATCGCATTACGTGTTGCTACTCTCTGCAGGGTTGCCCTATACGCTGCGTTTTTCACATCAGTAGCATTATGACACATCTGATCGTAACATGGGTTTCTTGATGGTGATTTTTGGTATCCAAGCGTTGTTTTTGCTGCACTTTGTAGGGAGTGGGCAATTCTTTGCAATTGTGCTTCTATACTATTATCGGGATAAGAAGTGCTTTCGTCAAGCTGGTGGGTAAATTGAGCGGTATAGGTCTCTGCTACCTGTTGTGTTTGCAGCTTTTCGACGACGAGTTTCCATATTACATTAGATCGCATCTTTGCTGCTACATTATCGTTAAACACTGGACGAATGCTTTCCGTCTATCACAACATGGTCAATTTGATTTCTCGTTGCTTGATCAGGAGAAACCCAGGTGGCCTTGTGTATATCAATATGCTTGAATCTGTGCTGCTAACTACCATGTTTTTCTGCCGTAAAGTCAATCAACTACATGCCGTTTTCGGATGTTTCTTCGTGGAGGCTGATTTTTCCGACGGTGGGACCAAAAATATTTTCCCTTCCGATTTTTGCATTAAATAGTAAGAGGGGTATTTCATAGTAAGAGGGGCTTTCCGAGTGTGGACAACCGTAACTGAGCTTCGATGGTT